TGCCAGGAAAAGATTTACTTACTCTGTTTTCTTTAGTTTAAGCCGACGAAAATGGTTATAGACATAAATCACTATTTCTTAAAATTATTGAGCCATCCTATTAAAAAATAAATGAGATTTTAAGTCTTTAAGACCAGAAAAAACATACGAGTATAATTTGAGCAGAAACGAAAAAAGAAAGAAAACCAGTAACAGACAAGTAGGTGACAAATAACTGACTGGATATACAATATTTAGAATTTTACATATAAATATCTGTGTTCGGTCGTGGCGAGATATGATATTATGTGTTAAGTGTATGCCTTTCCAAGATTTTATATTGTTTAATTATACCGGCGCTGGTTTCTTTACTTCTTGACCTGTGATAATAGTAATATTACTGTGAAAAGAAAACATCTTCCGTTTATAAAAGAAAACTTGATTAAATGTCAGTGCTCCGTCATATTAAGCGAACATTTTATTTATTTTAGTGAAATTCGTTTTTATTATGCTTTTTTTTTTAGTTTTATCCTGTGTGAAACTTATATTATATTATTGTTATATAACAGAAAAGATTTTTTATTTTATTTTTTTCAATTTTTTTTTTTTTATGTTATTTATTTATTTTCTACATTTTCCAGCGTTAGTGTCATTCATTCTGCCTACGTAAAACATTGTTTTGACGGTGATCGGCTTTAGTAGGTTTACAAATTGCTAAAAAATTATCTTATGGGGAATTTAGTCAGGGTTGCAAAGTGAAATAAGTTGATTATGTTTCGTCCTTCATATTTATGGTATAATGATCCATCAATTTAAATAAGGGGTCATCGATATTCTCTATTTACCCGTATTCAGGCCCAGTCCATTATGTCACTCCGGGTGATTCGCGTATTTTTGATTTGTGTAGAGTGGTAATCACTTTGATAAACTCCGCAAGTGACAAAATATGTATAAATGGTCAACCGCAAAAGGCAAAGCCTTTTTAGTACTGGCAGCTAGATAAGTAGACAACAACAATTACAACTAATTTAACCACTTCAAAAGTATCAACAGTCAAGTACTTTTAATTCTCATTAATTTCCTTCATTCCGTAAAAAAAGTGTGGAACCCTTTTTTCATGCAGTTTCTCGGATCTACCCCGTTCTGTCGCCGCTCAGAAATAGCAACAACAACAAAAACAACAAAAGGCCAGGAATTTGAAGCATAGCACATTCTGCGAAAATACGGAATTTTAAAATCCTCTCGACGTCTCTGAATCGTTTACGTCTCTGTAATAACTCTCAGTTTATGACATTTCTCCTTTGGCTTTCTTGAAAAACCATAACTTTCTGTGAAGGTTTTCTAAATTATCCTTCTTTTGCCCGAATTTTCCTTTAGGATTCATGCTTCGTTTCTTTTACTCACTTGACTACAAACTTAACTTTCGTATCTGCTCTACTATAAAAGATTCTTTTTAACTTATTTTCATACCTTTTACCTTACCTTACCTTACCAGGGTGCTGAATATTCACACTGCTGAGCTTTGAATCTTTAGAAAAAAGTGGCATCAGCGCATTCCAATTTTTTCCCTTCCGATCAAAAAGGTAGCGATTTTTTTCTTAATTGCCAGGACAAACGTAAACAATACGATATACTCCCGGCTCTGGTTAGTGAAGTCAGCGCAAGTTAGCTCATGAAAATTTGCAACAACATTTAAAGATTTAATGAGGTACTGAAAAATAACTTTTGCGGTCATTAAATTGACTAGTAATCTGAATCGGCCATTCTTATTGGTTGAAATTAACATTCACCTGGTTTTGTATACTAAGTGCTTGCTGTGAAAATCAGTTTGGTAGTTTATATAATTCTGTATCAAATCCACCAGCTTGTCAGAATCTATATAACGTTTTTACATCAGTTATATGCATATATAAGTAAGGAAGGTCTTTATGTATTTGTGTGTGTGTGTTTTTTTTTTTTTTGAATGCAGTCGTTGTTCTCCGCTCACGTATCCGAGATATTGAGTTAATTTGGAAAAGGCCGTGGTTATCGTTCTCTTTTCCTTTATTAACACCTGAATGGAATAGGATTTAGATCCAGTCATTTGTAACCGTTGTTTTGTAAACTGTTTGTTTTCTAGTTTAATGTAAGATACCGTTCAAGTTTAGCAAATATATAATCACTTTTGATATAATATATAGATATAGCCAAGGCCAAAAGGGAAGCTCTCGAGGGATCTTTTAAGAAATGTCCTTCTCAAATAATTCAATTTTTACCGTAAGCAGAAAGTAAAATAAATTCCACATGGACCTAAGCCCGCAATCAATTGAAAACACTGTTCAGAGGATAACTTTAAAAGATACCTCACTTTCAATGAGTTGTATACCTGAGCCCGCGATACAGTCATGTGACAATGGTAAGCGAATACCTTTTTTGACAGCTGGCAATTGACCAAAGCGTGCATGTCCAATATCAAGTTAAACACAGCTAGTGTATGTCTTGGACTCCTAGCTAGAGAGTGTGACATTTCACTTACGCTACCATGAATGAGTGGATGTACGTACGGATGAACCGACGAGCGATTTTGTCAGAACCAAAATTTCTTGGATGCATAGATAACCAGATTTTCTTACCCATGGTGCTCCGCTGCGCGCTTTTCGCGCGCGTGAGAGCTACGTCCGATGCCGTTCAAGTTTAGCACATATATAATTGAAAATGACACATGTTTAAAAACAAAGCAACGACAGATTGATTGCAAACTCCGAAAAAAAATGGTATTTTAAGTAATTGTCGTTTCTCGTCGACCAACTAATATTGGTGAAGAGTTAAGCAGATATGCAATTATTTATACCTGTTCAGGAAAAATGTATATATTATAGCCCCGTGAATTGCTAGTAACAGTCATTATTATGATTATCATTTTCGACGAAAGAAAAATCGAAAATTGAGAAAATATACGAGACAATGGTCCAGTTTCGCGTTTTTGTAACCTATGAGCCGTACCTTGCTTGCACTTTTTTTCTAAAAGGTAGTCGTGCAAAGGTATATGGTAGAACCATATCGACCGTAGGATATGCTCAGGGTACTCGATCCTTATGCGCATGTCTTTCGTGATCATTACCAATAGGCTATTTCCGAGTTCCAAAAACTCTCACTTTCAGAGGGAGGCCAACTTTAAAAGAAATATTTATTTATTTGCATGAGGAAAAAAATCATTTTCATGTCATTGGCTTCGCACTTAGCCTTGTTTTAAAACAGAGGCTTTGGGCAACTCGGAAATGGCAAAGTACGCTTGTGTAAGATATTACTTCCTACCAAATTTTGGATTTGCGTCCTATTCAGAAAAGTGTGTTGACCTGGATTGTGCTCCTATGTATGATACTAAAACTAGAATGTCAGTAAAATTGCTGACTTCACCATGAAGGAAAATTCAATTTAAAAAAGACAAGAAAACCTGGTACATTAAAGGTTCATAACCCCACGGCAAGATGAGATATTTAAATTTTAAGGATTTTCCGGCCAAAGAAACTGGGAAACTGCCCACCTACCCCTCCCCTAAACCAATATTAACGCTTTCTTCTCACTTAAGGCAAAATGTTAGCCTAGGGGAGGGGTAGGTATATGGATCTCAAAATAGCAGCATCAGCTTAACAAAGCAGCTGTCTAGTCATTGGTGGATGATTTCCAAAATTCTCAATAAAAAATACGTTATTCAGATAAAAGCTTTTTCGTACCTCCACTTACAAAGTATAAGTTGGAATTTACATGTTTTATTTCGGCCTTTAGCTCCGTAGTCTTCAGACGATATTTGTACTCTAAGACTAAAGTTTTGTTCGGCAAAACATAATCCGTATCTTTACTCCTAATAACATATATGAACACTATATTTCATCTATGTGCCACTGTCCGTTCGAGGACGAAAACGGAAAAGCTATGTATCCGCATAACGGAAGGGCCCGTGTAAAGGTTGGAATTGTATAAAGTTTGATATTTTTTGGACCAAAATAGCTTTGTCCGTAATGAAGAAGCTTCCATAAATAGACTGTTGTATAGAATTCCCTCCTTAGAACTGTGCACAAACTAGATATAGCGAAAAGACATGCTGAGTCTGTATATAACTGGTCTTAAAGTGGACACATTTGACCATAGCAAACGTGAGAAAGAAGAGTTAAGGGAGGAAATGGAAGTTTCCAGGAATTGGAAGGACGTCAACATGTCTGCAGCTTTTTCCTGTCTCTTGGAGCACCCCTAACCCTTCCCCACACCATCCCCCGGCCTGTAAGCGACGACGGCCCATCAATAACCCCTTAATTCTAGCGCATTGAGACGTCTCACTCCATGTAAGAGAATACAGATTCCGGAATCCGGAAAATTTTTTTCTTGTGGACTCTTGGGTTTTGGAATCCGGAATGCAGTTTAAGGAATCCGGACAAAGATCCGGAATCCAGCACCTGAAATCCAGAATCCGAGACTGTCTTGGATTTCCTTACATGGGGCGAGGCGTCGGACCCCTTTTATACACCCGCATAGACAAAATGACAATGCGTAAAGTAAAGTTTCTTGTTTTAGGAAACGACAGGATGGCATGTCCATGGCTCAGCGTTTACGATTCGACCAACACGCCTCCGTCTGATAGTAGTGACATCCTAAAGGAACCAACGAGCCAGACGTTGTATTCAAACACACTATATCACTGACAGCGTTTTCTCAGACCCTTTTACTGCTGGATCGATTTGCCTTCCACGTGTCTATTTGGTAAGTGTTGAAATGGCCATAAACTGCGTGATATAGGCGTTAATAGACTGATTTAGCAACAGAGCGGGAACGTCAGTTGACCGCGGCGGGCGCAAATCAAACAACTGGCTTGACCGATAGCAGAGCGACAAATTGGGCAGCGGAAGTCAAGTTTAGTCGTTTTCACGCGCTTTCCTGTCGTCAAATAACGTCCCGTTCTGTTGCTAAATCAGCGTAATAACAACCAAACCCTTCCTCGATAAAACCACTCTTTCCCCAAGACTAATTTGGAGAATGGCTGCAAAATGCTATCCCATCACTTCTACTTTCTTATCTTGCATGATTGGAATGGGAAGTGACATAATAACCACTCCACAGACACAACACAGGCCACCTATTATCTTTCCTAAAGTTGTAAATGGCACCACATCTCCGTACCTGAAGATAAAACAGTAAAACGAAGTTATGAGTACAGCAAAATGTTGTGAAATGAGATTAGGATAGATCGGTAAACTGCGGAGAAATGATTTTGAATCAAGTCAGCTGATCCGTGTGGCGTGCTAAATCGGTAAATAAGTAAATGAAAATATAATTAACGTAAATTAACGTACATTAAAAAAGTAATGGTAGCAAGGGTAGCTTATGTTCTGTTAAGATCAAGATAAAGACAAATGAGTCATCGGCCCACAGAAGAACCTGATTAACTTAAGTCCATTTCCCACTGAGAAACAAAGACAACAACAGAAAAAGCTCAATCGGAAGAATGGATCCACTTGGAGTTACCTGGAGGTCACATTGGAACTCGGGTTCAGATCCATGTACTGAATATAATCAGATTGAGATTCGATGTATTAATTATAGTCTAATTTCGGTCTTGTTAAACGCAGAACTTTTCATGAGCACTGATTGGTGCGCGAATTTAGGACGAACCAAATTAACAAATGCGCACCTGTTGAATCAGATTCTGAGTAAGGTTAGCTGAGCATAATACAGTTTGAGCCATAAACAAAATTGCAAAAGTGCTAAATAGGCTGTGAATAGGTTCGCGCCCGAATAAGTCAGCATCAGATCCAACTGAGTTGAACTTGTCGGTCGAGCTGGAAGAACTGGTCCGTTGTAAATGAAAAAGCCCTTCATCGATTCAAACACCGAAGTGGTCATCAAATAAATTTAAAGTTCGGCCCATGAAAAGTTCGGCGTTTGGCTTAGAGCATTTAACCTACCCTGTAGTCATCATAGTGACGCATGTGTACCAAAGAGAGTCCGGAATGCTCTTAAATCCTTTAGGATTGTCTGTTCTTTCCACGTAATATAGTACGCTAGCGAATAGCAGGATACCTAACGTAAACGTAAAGTATAAAAACAGCAGATCCGTTGAGCAGTTTTTAAGTGTGTAAAGGAACGATTGAAGTCGTGTGGATCCTCTGGTTAATTTCATGACCCGGCTTACACGTAGTACTCTCAGGGTAATAAGTAAGGTAACATCGTCGGTGTTGAAAAACTGCTTAGCAATAAGTGATACATAATAAGGTACTATTGCCAGAAGATCTATTATGTTGAAGAGATTTTTCATAAATGCGCATCGGTTCTTGGACAAGGCAAAACGTATGAGAAACTCCAATGAAAAAACGGCAACGAAGGTCGAGTCTACGGCGAAAAACAAATCTGGGTACAACTCTAAGCACTTGATGCCTGTTTCGCAGTCAATTGTTTCTATCGTTGTCGTGACAACGCTGAGAATTATGAACACTCCATAGAGAAAATTTAATAATTTCTGTAATATCTTGTGTGTTCTGAGAATACTGCAATGACAATTTATTTTGCATTTCCAAGTATTTTTACAATCGTCCCTGGAGTTTACACCTTCATAAGAATGTGTCGACCGGGTACCCTCAACAAGGTGATTGTGCTTTCTTGGTGAACTTTCTCGTCGTTTCCCCATCCAAGGTCGACTTGTTAATGGCAGGTGGCTAAGATGTGTTAACCTCCTCGAACTTCCTTCTTTGTAAACCTGCTGGCTTGTTACCTCATTGGGTTCTGAATTTCTTCTTTTCAAGGTTAGATAATTACCTGGGGCAGTGCGAACAGCCTTTACACTTGATGGTCTCCTGATAGCGTAATGGCATCGATGTTTTTCCTTTTCGTCAGTATTCGTTGAAAACCAACAACAATCTTCAAGTTCGCAGAGTGGAATCCCAAAGAAATCTAACTCGTCCTTAAACGCAAGAGGACAATCATCCGGCGAAGTATGAAGCTTTCCACTTTGATAATAATTCAATATGTACCGAAACAAGTGGGGATCTCGATCAAAAAAGTACTCCTGTCTAACCTCGTCAAAGTAACAAGAAAGCATATGGCTTCCAAGCAAAGTATTTGGATGTCGCATCAAAGAAGTTTTATCCGTCATAAAACGTTGCCCGCTCACGTTTAAGACAATTCGATTCCTTTTATTGATGCTGGGAGTTTTAAAGCAGACCCGCCGAGCCATTAGTTAAAACGCTGTGTTTGAAAAACATTTGACTGTAGGCTCGAAAAATACTTTTTTCATATCAATGAATCCATCGGATGTAACTTTTGTAATTTTCTTTGTGAGCAGTCGCTAAAAGAGCGATGACGTTGAAATTCTCCAATATCCTGATTAACGTTACCAAGTAAGCTTCCCTGCAGCAACTTCTGCTAAAACAATGCACATCAGTTAAACTGGGAATGAAACATGAGGAAATCAAATCAGCAGTTAACTTAGTCCAAAGCTGTTAAAACCACCACCAAAGCACACTTTAACAGGTTGGTTTCTGCGTAGTCTGATTGATCTATTTTTGAAACTTAAATGTTTCAAACAGTCCCTGTAGATATGCAAATCTATTCAGCTTTGACAGTTCATATCAAATTCCATATTTGCCCAACTGTGCATGTTAATTTTCGGCGTTGATTATTGTCCCTCATCAACCAACACGTCTCTCCGTATGTTAGGTTCAGTGTTTTCTGAAACAAAGCACTTTATGTGTCCCTCGTTGGAAATTTTGTGATTGAGCGTACAAACTTTTTTCCTTGTAAAAATTGACTACCATTATAACATGCATCGAAAAAACTGGTCCATCCTAGCTCTCGGTCATAAGTGCCGTGTCGAGTATCTGCCCAGTTAAAAGAAGTTAAATTGGCGTGGTTTCACAAATTTAAATTACTAATAGCAAAACAGCGCAACCATACAGCACAAAGCAGTGTTTTTCCCAGTAGGAAACTGCTGTCTTGTAGAGAGAGAAAAATAAAGAAAACAAAGGATCTGGTTAGAGGTGGAAATTTGTTCCAATCTTGAACGGCGCTTCATACAAATCGACGTTTCAAGAGCGTTGCGGCCTTGCCACTTTTTTTGTTCTAAATGACAGGCAATTTTTCACTATATTTTGCTTTGTTTAGCTTTATTCCCTTTCTAGGTTTGAAATTTCCTTGGCCGGCCCTTCTATTCTGAACAGGTTTAGTTATCTTTACAGAACGCTTGCAATCAACAAGAGACTTATGAATGACAAACCGTTAAAACCAAGGACAATAATGATCAAAAGAGAAATTCTTTCTGTGCAAAGAGAGACCTGTCGCACTAGTGGAGACGTGACATAAAGTGGGACAATACGAAGACCTGCTAAGCATTGTTTGAATAAAAAACAGATGACCAGATGTTTTCCTTTAAGCTACATGTCGCGATTAATTTGTGTTTTTACCCTACCTAAGCTTTTATCAGTAAAGCATCAAAGCCATCATTTTGGCTTTGTTTGTTTTGACTTACCTACAATTAGAATACAATTTGAATTACCTAGATATTGTCCGTAGTCCACCAAAGGTCTCGTATTATTTTCTTGCGGCTGTCGTTTTTACTTTCTGTATATGAAAATAGCATCATTTTATGTGTCCCAAAGCGTTCAAAAGCATTCAATATTTACTAAAAGCGTGGTATTTTATTTAATACCCTTGTAGAGACACCAGTCGCAGGCTGGCGTTTTGACAACTTAGGTAAAACAATAATAGTCGCTTTTTAGACAAATTACACTTTAGTTATAGAAGTTATCACTAGCAGCTGAAAAAGACGCTAATGTTGCTTGATGGATCTCTATTGGAGTCATGGAAAGGAACGCAATCATGTCCCTCATGTCTAAGATACCTATGAGTTATTGGTTCATATCTAAGCTATAGGGTGGCCTAAAACAATCCTGTCTTTTCCCAAGACATCCGGGGCGCGTGATGAAAGCATGGGAAGGGAGTAGAAAAGGAGCAATGGGTAATATAGAGAACAGTAAAAAGAGAGGATACCCTGCCGTCGAATTTGTCAGTTTAAAATGTATACATTGAGGGTGGAGGGGATGGCTGACGAAGGCGGGAAAGGGGAGCATGAAGCAAATTGATGGGCTCCTATCACGTCAAAAGCAAGCAATGACATATCATGGCATGACGTGGATCAATATGCATATAAATTATCTTCGATTCATAATCAGTTTTATGTCGATTGCCAAAGTTGAGCTTGAGAACGATTCCCTCGCAACTTCTTTATATTCTGATTTACATTAATGATATATAAATATGTAAATCAATAACAATTACTCACGGTGATAAACGATTAAGGTAGGTATAATTTTATTTCAGTATGTGCTATACTTGTTGCTACCAAGGACCTTAAGTTCGTTGCTCGTTGTGTATGCTGAATAAGCGTCAGGCTAATTTAACTGCAACAAGGCTGGGCTAAACGAGGAGAGGCATGCTTTTGTTCTTGTTACTGGACATCGTCGTAATTCCCGTGAAACTTATTATTCAGATATTCACAAAAGGGACCCACTGTCTTTCTACTAAGCTCTATATTGGTAGATTTGAAAAATTCTCGCCAAAAAAGTCAGACATTTGCTGAATGAAGACGGTGGAATGCGGTCCAAAGTTTTTCTATTCAGAAATGAAAATGAATATAAATCTATCGGGACAGATAGATAGTGTGGTGGAAGGTGTAGGCTCTTCAATATCAGACTTGGTATAGTGACATCGTAATTATGTAATTTTCTACGTTCAAGCTATCACTGCCAAGAAGATCTTTTTGAGACCTTAACAGCTATTGGTGAAGTTGCATTCCTGCTTCGTAATTTGATTGAAAGACAAGAAAAAGGGAAAACCGGTTAGCTTTGAATAGAAGAAGGAGTATTACGAACGCCGCAATTTTATTACTTCACCTTCAGCAGGCACACGACGAGTAGGCCATTGTAGACAGCCGAACGTTTCTAAAAGATTCAATTAGCTGCATCTGTAAAAAGAGTGGAATGTACCGGCATAAAGTGGAAAACAGCAGATATGAAAGAAGGCAAGAAAATCTGGGGTTGCTTTCCATTCTGCCAAAATTACTTGAGCTGAATTTCGGATTTCAAAGCCCAGGATTTCGGATTCCACTACCAAAAAACCTCCTGGATCTCGGTTCCTAAAAGCAAAAATGTCCCGGAAATTTTGGTGGAGAAATTAATAAATGGAACGATTAAATTCGTTCAGTGTGGAAATTTTCCGGTCAAAGTGGTTCACCTCCAGAAGTGGTGCTTGGCTTTGACTGGTCAGTCCAGTCTGACCTTAACTTGCCGCTCCATGTCCAAAAAATTCCCTTTTCCAGTCCTACTTTGCTAAGCAGTGATCAAAATTTTGGTCGAAACGCAAATGGATCGCTTCGATTCGATTGGAAAGTTTGTTTCATTCGAACAATGTTGTTCTTTTTCTCTTGATTATTCCACTGGTATGTGACTGTTTGGTTTGGCAAAATGGAAACCACCCTGGGTCCTCATCGGGGCAAAAAGGGGGCTGAACGAAGTCACGTGGAATAAATAAGGCAGTTCGTCTTGGAAGGGATGCGTCAAACATTTTGATGAGGACTAAGCCTCAGGCTTGAGGCCAAGGATATCTCTTCTATATAAAAACGTCACTAATTATAACAGCTTCCTTTGGGCTCCGGAAGTCGGCAACGTATGACTATGGAAGAGCTATGGTTACCGTTATGAAGGAATAGGACAGGGGACAATGGCACTTACCCCAAGCTCAAGTTAGCCCCAAACTTGAGCCAGTGATAGTGTTAACGAAAAGGTTGGAATGAAGAGAGATCGTCTCCAGTCCTAACATTACAGGACGCCAGAGGCTTTGGCCAAGTTACAAAACATTCCATGTAAACAAGAGAAGTGTCTCCGACTCACTAAATTCAGCAACTAGAGTCGCGGCGTTTATAGATGTACTATTCTAATAAGAAAGAATGGAAGCACTTTGGACTACTAGGTTTATTAGTTTTATCATTAAGGTTAAACATTTAGGCTCTCGGGTAAAGCAGTTTATCAATTTATAAATCAATCTTATTTATCCATGGTTTAGATATTAAATTCTTGCGTCTGGTATTGGATATCGGATATGTAAAGATGTACTTCACGTAAATGATAATTAAGCCATGGATAAATAAACAAATAAATAAATAGATAATGGCTTTGTTCAATAGGATTCACAAGGTGGTTCTTCTTCTATTGAAACTACCTAAACTATCTAGCTGAAAAAACAATGTACAAAAAAAGTAGATGAGAAGATCAAAAGATTAAAAAACATATTGACATAGTTATGTATGAATAAAAAGTCACTGTAACGCTTCTTTAAAATATCTTTGACGGCTGAGGAAAATAAATTGTAGTTTGGAATTATTTTAACATTGTCAGTCAGGTTACTAAAAAGTTCTGCAGAAAATAAAGGGACCTGATTTGATTTGATTCGAACTCGCGTCACTAGAATACTTTCCTTGCCCACTGGAAATAATTGTACTACTACACGTATCACAGAACAGCATCTAGCCACGGACAGAGTTCCAAAAATAAGCTGAACAAGAACTGGGTAAGGGTAAGAGTTTCAAACAATATCCATCTCCCAGGGCCAACAAGTACCTGGTATATGATGATATTAATAAGCGTCAATAAGCGTTTTAGGAATCAATATTATATTTTTTCACTAATAGATGAGGTCCTAGCCAAAGTACACATTATCATGGATGTCTCACACTATTGCTTTGAAACAGGTTGTTTCACAGAGTCGAGTGTTTTAACCTCTAAAGGCATGTTTCTTTGTTGTTAATTAAGTTGCTGTTGTTGTTATACCATCATACATGCTTATCATTCTCTCGTTGCAAACCCGTTTTCCAGGTCTTGATTTTTGCCATTGGTTTGGGTCAAAAGACATTCCTTTTCTCCTATGCATTCTGCGCACTCTGTAACAGCCTTGTGTGGACTCCGTCGTTTTCGTGATGTCACAGATTCCAGCGTGCAAGGGACTTGCTTTTCTTGAAGTATGGGAATTGGTAGCGCGAGGAGGACCACACCGGAGACACAACATACTGACCCCACAAACTTTCCAAGGACCGACGAGGGAACAACGTCACCGTAACTGCAAAATGAAGAAATTTGCAAAGTTAGTCTCCAAGTGTTTCTTTTTTTGTTAAAACAAGTGACACTTTTCCTAACTCGGCTTGCCTTAATAACTCTTTTTTCCATATATACCGAGTATTACTGAGTGTATATACGACATAGAGGTGTCACAAGATGGACTCAGATAGTTTCCTTGCACAACAACAGTCTCTAGCAGGCCAGTTATTAAAAAAACCTGGCAGATACTTAAGAGATAATGTTTTTTTTCCAAGCTCAGTACACTAATAGGAAGTTGACTTATCTTCCTTTGGTCGGAGGTGACAAAAGAGCCACGGATTTTCGAATTTCAGCGAAATAAAAAAAAACGTTTTGGTATAGGTCGTCGTACATCGAGGCAATGTGACTCGACTTTGTCTTCCGCATCCTCGGATTCGCTTCACTGATCCCGTATCAAGGCCATACGTGGAAACTATTTGAATCTGTTGCTGGTGGTGTAAAGATACGCCACTTGCACATCTCCCATAATGCACCTTATTTGCGCCCCACAATTTTGCATAACCCTTGTTTTTTATTTCTTTTGGGTATTACGACCGTCCCAAGAGAAATTGCAAACAATGCTTATACCAATTTGTGGGGGAGAGGGGGGGGGGGGCGGCAAATAAGGTGCATTATGGGAGATGTGCAATTGGCGTGTAGACAAAAAAATATATGGAGATGGCATCAAGTAAATTTCAACATGGTAACATTTCTGTTAACAGTTTGTCAATGATAAAGTGATACTTGAGTGATTTTTCCAATGAGTCACTTTCGCCAGTGGATGTCAAGGCTGAGTAAATGTCAAAGTTTTTCAAAATACACGTTGAAAAAGGAGGAAAACCAAGGCTGAGGATGCATGGCAAGGCTTCCTTCTTTTGGCATATTGTAGCCATGTTTCTATTTCTCTTGTTATCCGCCCTCAATATGCTTCACTGTGTTCTTCATTTTTGCGACAAGTTGACAGCAGCGGCTTCTCTATTAACTTCTAGACGTGTTGATAGTTTTCCTGTTGCAGGAATGCGACTTTACTTTGATACCTCAGGCCAAATGATCCCCCGCACACAGGATGCTTTGAGAAATGGCTTTTAACCGTTGTTGGCGGTCTTCTCTGAGAATGGCAAATTAGGTTTTTGGTCTTGAACGTTCGAGACTCTTCACTGCTTGTAACTCTGTCCTTCCCAGCTGAAACCATGATAGTGTGTGGGATCCTCTGCTGGAAGATTCGTAGACTTGCTCCTTGTCTGTTAGTGATCCAGGTTTTACAGCTATAAGGAAGCATTCCTATCGACTCTTATTCTGGTGTTCCCTTTTTCACTGACGTTATCTTACATAGGTTTGTTCGGCATTTTGGATATAACCGATATTAACGTAAATTCTAAGTTCTCTGCAAAACGGTTTCATGTTGACGCTTCATTTTTCAGCCAACGTCTCCCATGGCTCCTCCTGGCATGGTTTCTATTTTAGCAGAACTGACTTCCTCACGACTGGGACAGTGAATTGTATTGTTCTCTCATCGATGACTCGGGTATCACCGGTAAACAAGACTTTCTTAACTTTGGGACAGAGCTGAAGTAATTGTGCTAGTCAATTTTGCATTCCCTGGATTTTTCCAAGGAATTCAAGTTTCCTGGTTACAGATATAGATTAACTTGTGGTGGTTGCAGCCCACGGTTTTTCTTACAGGCTTCACTAGTTAGCGGTTTCACTCGAACAAAGAGTTACCTCTCGTTCTTCTCCTAGGCTGTCTTCAAGGCGAATAGACCAGTTTCTCTGAAAGCAGAGAAGAGATATAGGCTCATTCACACCAAGAGGCTCTTGTTCACACCTAACAGTGAATGCCCGCAGTGCCTCGATTATAAATAACAAAGTTCGTTTACGCGGAGCTGTCACCATGTTCGCTGTCCTTCGTCCTTTTCTTTCACTTTTGCCTCGCAAGCTACCTCATTCTCTTAAAGGAACGTCCATCCGTTCGGCTTTTCTCTGGTTGCTGAATTTGGTCCCCTGGACGTGCTATTAAGTTTGGTTAGGAAAAACCTGTCAAGCTCTGTCACGATATTTTTGCTTTCCAGAATTCCAGCTTTCAATACAAATCTGTTCGAGCTTGCTTTTTCTTGACCTTAGTGCATGCGTTTATATAGAAACCTACAGTCGAACATTCTTTATCCTAAGAAGCACGCAGGCCGCCGTCGTCCGGCGATAGCTGAGATGACCCAGCTTTTTAACGTTAATACTTTTTCCCTGTCAGCTTAATGGAATTGCAGAAGAGAGAATGGGGAATAACTTTGAATAAGGAACTTTTTTCGACATGAAAACCAAATGTTGATTATTCTCTATTTTTTTCTCTCTTATCTTTAGAACCCACTTACGTGTAGCAAAGAAAAGGAACAAGCAATGCTTTAATGAAGCGTTTGACAGGCTGAAAAAGGTTCAGCGTAAGTGACCGCTTGGTGTTGATCGATTTTTATCTCTTTTATTGGTAGAGGCCATCTTGGGCACCTTACAAGATAAATTAATGTACTAATGTAAATTAATGTACTGAGCTTCCCAGGAAAAATGCAATGAGGATATACGAAATGCAATGAAGAAATAGCTAAGACCGCCAAATAGTTAAATTTGGATTGCAAAAGGCTTGATTGGCATCGGCATGACATTTCTTTAGTTAAAATGTTTATGATAATTAAATATAGAAATGAATGTTAAGTAATTTGCAGGTCTGTGAGTCGCAAAAGCGCATGTCATCACATGCCCTAAGGTGAAATGCCACTGAGCAGTAGTTTCCTATGGTTTGCTTATTATACAGCACAAGGTAGTTCTCACTATTTAGTCTATGATCGATTCAAATGAAAACTAATGAGCAGTCATACAGTGCAAGCTGTGGATGAAATCCCATGGTGTGGCCATGCAAACAATAGCTACCAAGCAACGCTTCCCTGTGGTGCCGTTTATTAATAGCCTGATTTAGCAACAGAGCGAGAACGTCAGTTGACGACGGCGCTCGCAAATCAAACAACTGGCTTGACCAATGGCAGAGCGACAAATTGGGCACCGGAAGTCGAGTTTAGTCCTTTCCACGCGCTTTCCCGTCATCAAATGACGTTCCCGTTCTGTTGCTAAATCATATATCTACACAAGGTGATTTCCGGTTTCCCTATTTGATGGAAATCGTCTAGTGCGACCATTGAAATGAAACCTCGCATTAGTTTTCAACGGTACCGTTTGTTTTAAAATATTGTATTTAAGGCCCATGGTGTTCTTCGCCTTTCGGTATTCTTTATCAAAAAATGTTTTTAATAGCAATTCTTATTGCAGAAGTGAATATGGCACAAGCTTAGATAAATTATTAATTTTATAATTGCTATGTGTTTAAAAGGGTAGTGAAATTGGTGAAATTAGCCATTAGAGCTGTGTGTAAAAGGCTTTTAAGTTATGAGATCATGCCAAAACAACATTTCTCACGTCATTCTCGATGATAAAAGTCCAAAAAATAGAGTTCCTTAAATTCATACCTTACTTACAAACTCTCGTCTCTGACAAAACGGCTTTTCCCTAAAAACCTACTGATCAGAAGTAATCTATTATTTTTATATCTCCTCTTCTTTCTTTCTTTCTTTTTTAATTTTTTTTTTTTAAATTTTTTTATTTCAATCTTTGCCCACTCAAAAGTGTACTAAAATAATATGAACATAGTAAGCAAGAATGATAAGAACAGTATCACTAATGATACATTGACCTTACCCGACTGTCATCAGGGTGACACAGGTATACCAAAATGATTCCGGAATGCTTGAAAACTGTGGATCTCCTCCCATAAAATCCACATAATAAACCGCTGTTCCAAACAAAATAATGGCCAACAGACAAATACAGTAGAGAAATACAATATCTACTGCGCAGCGTCGAAGAGTTAACAAGAGGCAACGAAGTCTTCTCGAATTCCTCGTTAACTTCAGAATCCGAATCACGCGCAAAACTTTGAGTATTTGTATATAGCTTGTTTCCACTCCAAAGCTGGTAACAATCAGTGTGATGTAGTAGGGAAGAATGGCTAGTGTATCAATTATGTTCATGGCATCCCGCATAAATTTCTTTTTCATCGGACAAACGTAGAAGCGAATCAAAAGTTCAGCGGTAAATACAATAACGCAAGCTGATTCTATTGTGAAGAAGATACTGTGATAAACTTCTCCACACGTATTTTGACCACATCGTAAAGTTTCGAGAGACGCTATTAACACACTTACGAAAATAAAAAACCCGTATATTATGTGAAATATTACGCCGGTCTTCGTAGTCTTTGAAGGGCCAATGGTTCGCCAAATTTTCTGCCGCAAAGTTAGTTTTGGCTCGCAATGTACGGCGCATAAATTTCCGTTGCAGGTAATTGTCTCCCCCTCAAGGGCATCGTTGTCGCCTTCAATAAGTAGGCCTTTCTCTTTGTGAGTACAGTATTCCCAACAACAATCGTTTACGTCGTAAATTGAAAAGCCATAAAATTGTAATTCCTCTTCGAACGCAGCGGGACAGTCTTCTTGGGAGAAGTGTAGTTTGCCAAATCGGTAATAATTCAAAACAAACTTAAAGAGATATGGATCGCGATCGAGGAAATACTCCTTTCTTTGCTCGTCGTAGAACTGTTTCATGGCTTCTGCACTGCCAAGTAAAGAATCAGGAAAACGCATCAGCGTGCTCTGCCAAGTCTGAAACTTAATCCCACTCACGTTAATCGTTAAACGCTTGTCTCTTGTCGACGAAATTGACGAACCACGCTTTGCGGGCTTGTTGCTTCTGGAACCTATGGATTCTCTAGGGCGGTCGTTTCTTTGCGGCTTATTGTTGTTGATACTGAAATTTCTCCTGACAAGTCCCCCAGCTGAAATACTTGTGTTCAGCATTTGACGATGTTGTCACCAAAACTGTAAACCTTTGTATATACAAAAGCCAGTATAAGTTCTTTTACAGAGTAATCCTCTGTGCGTTTGTCAGAACAATCTCATTTATATAGTCAATTGCTTTGTGACCTTTTTCTCGCCTCTCTAGAGTCGCTAAGACTCGGGTATGTTAGTATAATCAAATCTTTTCTTGAACAGGATTTTAAGAGGTTATAATAAGATAAAAGGCAGCCACGTGTTCTAAAATTCAAGTGGTGAAATTGAATACAGTGGGGACAAAAACACGAAATTATCATATGTGCCAGCGATATAAATGGAGATTACTGTATTCTCTCTTAACAGCGTTTTCCATTGGTTATCTTAATTAGAAAATTGTCTTCCGCGTCAGCTGAGTGCTCTTTCCTCATCGGATCTGAATCAGGAAAAACACCACAAAATTAGACCAAATAAATACAAAAAATTGATAACATATTTAATCTCGGGAAACGCTAAAATGTAGGGTTAGGTACTTCTAAATAAGACTATCGCACATTAAATATTTGAAGCCATTCAGCTAATGTTTGCTTATTGAACAATCCTTTTTGAATCTTTTAAATCTAATGACACAACCGTTTGTAAATTACTTATTTTACGATAAACATTCGCTGTTTTTATTTTGTGACTGCCGTAAATTGCGTAATAACAATATGACTGTAATACGCGATGAAGAGAGTGAAATTTCTGGGGAGGTTCTTGATGAATATTATTATAGTTAATATTTTTAGGTAAAAATTGAATCAAGATGTCGTTCGATTGGTTCTGCGGTTTTGAGGGATACTGTCTAGATTCTACCTACACAAAGACTTTACAAATGACCACATTTATTTCACTATTGGCCTAACAAAAATAAGCAATATAAGCGATGTATTTGGGTGAGGAGTTCAGTATACTTTTTAGCAGTTACACCGGGGATCGTTTATTTATGAAGTCATGAAAGCAGTATATATTCTTTTCGTCTCCACCTTTCAAAAGGGTATTTAAGCATAATCGTATATGTATGCATTAAGTCGCTAAAGCTTCAGAAAAATACTGCAAAAAAAATGCATGGTTTTAATCTTATAAGCACCGAACGATAAGGGCTCGCATGAATTATCCTCGGAAATTAAAATCCTTATTACACAATATGTTCATGGGAGGTTAAATGGTTCCCACAAATACATTTATACAATTTTCTTTTTTACCTTACATCGAAGATTCAAGACCTGCGGTGCAATTACCGAGAGCAAGAATTCCCTTTTTGCCTTTTCGCCTTCCGTTTTTATTCATTTATTTTTTCAACCAGACGAAGCTGAAGTTTATTTATTCATAACTATTTCAATTTTTACAATGCAATATTTGGTGTATGTTATTAGAACTGGGACGCCTTCACGATTATAAATGATAGCCTGCTTCTGATATTTGTTACGGTGATTGATCTTATCAAACTATGATATACAGTCAAAGCTCCTGTTAGCGACCACCTCGGTAATCCATAAAATTGACCGCGAGTACAGCTGGTGATTTATGAGCCTTATACACTCTGGTAGCGACCTTGTGATTAAACCTATTCAGAAGATGTACCTTTTCGAGATCCTTTAGCAAAAAAGCTTGACATATGTTGTTCATTACCAATATGTTCAGATAAAGTAATGTTAAAATGTTTTACTTATCACATTCAAAGTAGCTCTTAGACAATATGATCAAGACGTTAATGCATTTATTCAAGTGTTGACCCAGAGGTCGCACGAGAATTTAAAAAAGGTAAAGACGAGAGATTCACAAAAATTGTCGCGGTTGCTTACGTGAGGGATTGCAAGCTAACATTACGCTTTAAACGCGGTTTCAGAATTCCGATAACAACGATAGGTTGTCGCCTTCTCGCTCAAGGAGAGCATTACGTGGACTGTACTGCATTTCTCACTGTATCTCGTTTCTCACTTTTCACTAGCTGTCAGTTTCCTGAGGCGTCCGCTTTAATATAGTGTTACCTCAACAACAACAACAACAACAACAGCAGCAACAAAAACAAAGCCATGGAAAAAGGGATTCACAGGTCCAAGGGATCCACTAACGAAATCTTCAACATATTTACAAATTTCCGTCAATTGAACATAAACGGTCATTTTAAAAAGACAAAGAAATCATCGAGATTATTATACCTGTACCGAAATAGCCGTGAGTTGTTCTTCTGTAAAATCACGGATTGCAAACTGCCATTTTTTCCTCGATTTTTGTCGGTGGTTATCATGATTTCAATTTTGCCACTTCTGCGTTTTTATGTTATTAAAACCGCATGGTTCCGGTTTTGAATTTTTTATTGCTTATTATCTCTGTGTTACTGTTATTTTATTACAAACTCCAAGAAGTCGTTTGATGTGCCGAAAAAAAAAATAAGACAATTGAGTCATTTGCGCGATTTTCTGCTTACTCAGCTGAGTAGTTTATGTTTCTTGAGAAAATCGTCCTTAAAGTTTTCAATTTTGTTATTTGTTTTCCTCCTGAGTGAAATTGTTACTGTACATTTTATTTTTGTATATGTGACAATTTCAAGAACTGATTACCACTAATAAACGCTTCAGGGAAATTTGGTTTGAGAAGGAAATGAATATTAGCAAAATATATTAACACTTTTGTCGAAACCATGAATCCATTTAAAGAAAAGTGATCTCATGTCACATAACCTTTTCTTTTCTACTTGGTTTACTTGTTCAATTCATATCAACAAAAAAATATATATCAAAATAGAGCTGCACAACGTAATTTACTCTTGAATAGCACAAACTTGGAAAACTTGGAAGACGAGAGCGATGCCTTTTAATACCTTCTTGTCAACAACAGAAAGTGAGCGGAGATATTCATTCGTTGAGAAGGTGTGTGATTTTGATACATTCGAACATTTTTCTCTGCGAAAATTTAGGCAAAATCTAGCACTAGGTAAATGGGAGATCGTTACATCTTGCAAAGTGAACGTGGCTCAGAAGTTTGTTGATTTTTTTTTTCCTTTGTTATTTTGAATAGTGATTTACGCGCGTTCTGATTGGCTTAACAATACCCTGAATATCATGTGCTATTAGCTTCCGTGCACAACAAAATGGCTTCCTTTTGGCTATTGTGTAAAGAGTCGAATTTTTCCATGAAGTAAGACTCTGAATCAGTTTGCATATTCAGTCATGAGCTGAGAATAGTGTTGTTAGAAGCTTTTTAAATGGTCTGACAAATAAATTCGATTAAAAGCAGTACCAACTGTATTTTTAAGTTACTTACTATTGAAAACTTTGACTCATATTATAAACGCGGCGATACCTTAATTACTCAATACGTTTTGAAAGGTTACCGAAAAGTATAATCAGTTTGACTTAGTTGCGGGTGCTGTCCAGTCCGCATATTAACCTTTAAGTATCGGTTCATACCTGAATCCTGAGTGTAATGGTCTCCTTCAAAATTGAAAAAACAAAACTGTAAACTGCTGATGTTTTGACGCGATCTGCGAAATACACAAGTTCCTGGTTAATAGTTTTCTTCCTTATGAACATAAACGACATGCACTTTTACGGTTCTTAAAACCAGTAATGTTGGTAGACGAGTCGGGACCCCCGAGCACTCAATCACAAATAAAGCAGAACCCTTTGTGAGCCATAAATTTCAGATGAGCATTAGCAAATTGTCTGTCTGCTAAAAATTCGTTCCGTTATGGACCATAAAAGCATGGGCAATTTAATACGACAAAACATGCAACGAAGATTGGTCCGTAATTCAGTGAGAACAAGTGTCACCCTACGTAAAATGCCAGTCGGACTAAACTGAGAATTTCTAACATTTTGAAAAAAATGAAAAGTGGAACTTCTTACAACAGAACTTCTTGGTAGGCTTGCTTGCTGTAAAATATAAAGCATTAACATAAAGAGAGAATCACCTTAATGATCTGTAATTACTGCATTTATCTTTTGGTTTTGCTTATGTTACCATAAACCAACCTAAAAGCAGTGCATTAATGTTTCATGTTTTGCATAATGGTTGAACACTCACTCTCTTTTGGTGCCGCATTTTCGGCAAGAAAGTGGGAGACTATGTCATTAAATTTGCCCTGGTGACGATGGCAGAAGACGCTAGCTAAATAAATGGATTTTACATTTATTCTGTAATGTTAGAGGGTATTTTCAATGAAATTTCAATATAACAAAATATGAAACTACGAAAAAAGCGTAATTCAAAAAAATAAAATTATTTCATACAATCTTTAAAGTGACTGGAAGTTTTTTGGGACAAAAACGATTACAAAACATATATACATACCTTATTGGTACCTTATTTCGCGGGTCTTTAATTTGGCGTTTTTCGTGATTGCAAAAAATCGCTATATTCAAGCACGCGAAATCAAATACTCAATACATATCAGGGGTGGATCTAGGGGGAGGGTGCTGGGGGTGCGCCCCCCCCCCCGGAGATGACCTGCAGTTTTCTAATACAACTGGTATTCTGCCAAAAAAAAAAACTGTGTGGTTTATTGGTGTTGAAGTAGAGCAAGAGACGAGTGCACACCCTCCTAAAAAAAATCCTGGATCCGCCCCTGAATATAAAAACTTCAAATCACAGAAAAAATGTTTGCTTGAAATAGCGACAACAAATACAGGGAGTATGTATCACAACACAACTGTTAACTGGTTATACTTCTAAGCTCCGTTTTGTATCCTCAGTAAGTGAAAAAACGATATTTTGTAAAGCTTTCACACATTGCCTTTCCAGTTAAACTAGACTTTTTAAAAATAAAATGAACTTGAGAATGCTTAAATCGCGAAATTTATTGCTCTTTTCTCATATTTGCGTGTTGAAATCGCGAAAAAAAACCCGGCGAAATACTCTCTCGTCAAAATCACGAAATTAAATACCCGCAAAATTATGTACCAATAAGGTAATTCGTGAAATATTTTCAAGATTGGAACCGCCATAAATTTTGTCATGGAGACTGATAGCCATTTTATCGAACGAGGTGCATTAGCATACCATTATAAACGACCATCAAATTATCAGGCAGTCACGGAAAAATCTTAAGATTTTCTACTCTCCAAAAATATCAGTGCTACTCTTCCAAAAGTTTTCAGGTCAAGTAATTGTCATGAGAAAAGAAATGGAAGTACAAAGATACATTTCATGAGGGCAGTTCATAAAACGTTATGACCTTATTGGGACAAGTCATCGAGTTATCTTCTGTTAACCCTATAACGTATTTTTGACAGCAACCGGACAGCAACAACTGGCTTTTTGTGAAGAAGTGCTCATGCAAAATATAAATGGTTTATTTAACAGAGAAATATCATTATTTTTGCCTAATCAAAAATGCGTTTCTTTCTCCTTTTTGTGTGTGTCTAGACATTAACTCGCAAAACTGAAATAAAAATTAAGAACATATACTCAAAAATATTACCGTGCAAAGTTCTGCAACATGATTTGGCGAATTCTTCACACAATTACTTGAAATATGCGATCTGGGATTTTGTACGTGCCTCGTCACACATTCTCCTTCTCTACTCGATGTCTGCCTGGACAAAGCTTTAGCAAAGCTTTTTCTCATTTGTCAACCACTGTTCATATATATATATATATATTGTTTGAGCCCTTCAGTTGATAAACGCAAGTCAGTAAAGAAAGGCCTCTCTTTACAATAGCACAAACTGGAGCTATAATAGGAAACCTAGACTGAAATCCAAACTGTGGATTACTGGGAGATTTGTAAGGATATTTTTAAACCTTTGCGTCAATATATGCCAATGTTTTCATGCATGTATTAGCTGTGTATTCAACACATTGTGCTTGGATTTTGTGCAAATCCAAGAGTAATCTCATTTCAAAATCTCTGACCAATATATATGATAATATTAATGCCTTCCATCATTTCCTCTTACAAGTTTTCAACATAACTACTTACCTACTTACGGCGGCTTCAATCTAAAACCTGAAGTTACCAGTTTGCTGTCAGGGAATAAGTGTTGTCACCTTGAACAGTCGAAGAATTTTTGCGCCTTTCAATCCGCCAGATTAATGGTTTAACCGAGTTAATCCGAGTTTACTTACAGTCAATTATTTCAATTTGGTAAGAATAAATGTAGAAATCAACAGCACAATAGAATTTTAAATTTGAGAACACTCCCGGCAACAAGGGCCATTCCAAGTCTTGCTGAATCAAGTGAACTGTGCAAGCACATGCCGACGGGAAGGCTGGGATGGCATTTTGTTGCCATCATGGGCTAAATTTTTGAAATTATTAAACGGTCAAGAGGAATTCATAACAATTCATCTCCCGAATTCGATAAACAAATCAAACAGGACGTGTATTGAGTTACGTGAAGGCTGTTACTCTCATTAAATCAGGCCACAAAAGTCCGCTTTATGGATTTATCAATTAATTATACCATTAATTAAATGTCTTAATCTTGAGCTTAACTAGGTGGAAGATAATTATGACATTTAGATCTATACACCACTAAATGACAATATGTAATTAAATTGATAAAATTCACGAACATTGTATTTATCAGTAAAGATAGCTACACCCCATATTATCTCATAATGAAATCCAGACGATGTTTTCACTACTTGAAAAGCGATCATCAATGTTCTTGCCAGCGGATTTGTTCACTGATCATGCGTAGTTCGTCAAAAAAACATTTTATTAGGAACAACAACATGGCAGTCGAAGGTCGGGTCCATTAAAGAAATCCTATTCTGCTGCCCTTTCAGCAAATGGGAAAATTCATGGATTAATTTTTTTGTTTGTAGCAGAAACTCTCGCAATGTTATGCAAAATTAATTCAGCAAGTAATCTCATCGCCGCATAAAATGAACTAAACGTTAAAGACTTTAATGGAATTATAAACCGGGTTGGAAATAGGGACATTGTCGTAATCGAAAAGCACCTTGAGCGTAAAAGAACTGCAACTCAAATCTTCTATGTTTCCTTTCACCTAACATATCCGACAACACAAATCTGAAAAAATAGTACTTTCCTACATATCCATATATTTCTGTACAGTGGCGGGTTGCACATAACGTTATTTTGCGTTTTATCTATCACTGTTTCAAATCATGGCTAATTGGGAATAGTTGCAGTGTATATTTGTTCTTAGCGGAGCTCTGGCGCGCAAAGCGCGCCTGCGGAGCACCATGGGTAAGAAAATGTGGTAATCTACCCATCCGCGAAAATTTGGTAATCACGTGACCGTACGCCCGACCGTCCGTCCGCACCACAGGCATACCAATATGAAATAACTCAATCAACAGGTATGGCAACCCAAATGCAACTCGAGGTTATTTTGGCGGGAAATCGCATAGCCACCCGCGTCTGTAAAGCAGAGGCAACTAAAGAGTCAATAAAGACGAAACCGAAAAGCGGAAATTGTTTTTGTATCCGTGTTTTCAAAAGTATTAAGCTTAGATTAATTGTCATGTCCACACATTTGGAATATAGAGCCAGAGAAAGACAGAGAAAAAGAGAAAAAGAGGAAGGCCAGAGAAACTCAACGAGAAAAACGGCAACAGAGCGAGAGATAAAAAACAAAGAAGACATTTTTTGTTGGAAGAACAACATGAAAATTTTGTAGGGGCGGTGACAAAATGAGAAATGCTAGCGGCCACCAATGCAAGGAGAAAATGAGCGGTAGTGATAAAAAAAAGTGAACGAGAACACGTACGACATTTCCTCCATAAAAAGTTTCTGGAAGTTTCACGTGGCGGTCATGCAAAACAACGGCAAAGAAATGTACAAAAAAAGTGTGCTGCACGTGCAAGGTTGCTTTTTTGCTAATTAGACCTATTGTTGTTTTTTCTCCGTTCTCCGGCGTTGCCTTCGCCGCTTAGCATTACACGATTTTATATTTTGTTTGAACAAACTATAAATATTATCGAGAGCTTCGCTTTTAGCCCTGGCTAAATCTATATATTAGGTAATATTCATGGAATCATAAAAGTAATTTTGAGTTGTATTTTAAAGGTTATACTTGCCGTATTCCTTTTGTTATGGTATGTAAGCATGGGAATTCTGTCCTTATCACTTCGAGTCGAATTAGCATCCGCACTGTGTCAAAAGCACTGCACAAACCAAGAAGATCTTATTCAATCAAACCTGGTATCACCTTTGAGTTCTAAACATCACTTTATAAAGTCTAGTATGTTAATCGTTGTAGCTCACTGCGGATTTTGTTGGTTTTGCGTGATTGTTGCATCTACTATGAACCACATTTGTTCCCTAAGTTCTACGTTCTTTTTTTTTTCTTGTTTACTGAGGTTATTCTGTGTTTTCACTCACGTGGCCAGCATCTATGCAAATTCATTGGAACTAAAGAAAGCGTTTACATAAGAAAAGAGTTCAACTCCCACAGGACTGGTTTGGCTGCCATGACGTCATGTGAAAATACACAATTGTTATTGTTGCCGGTCTTGCAGTAATATAGTTATCAACTAAACTATGACACAACAGCAGAGATAAATCATTCACTGCATAATTATTTGTTTTCTTTGTTGCTCATCAAAGCTGTTGTCGTTGATGGTTTTTCAGCTGTTGTTGTATCAAACTACCCATGGTTCAAACCATTTACTACTGTGTTCTCCTGTGGTTGTTTTCTTTGCTTTTACAGTGGCTGATGTATAAAACACGATTAGGAATGTTTCGCCTAATATTCAAAAACTCAAGAGGTGTTGATAGATGACTGTTGCGCTGATTGAGTTTTCAACTGGTCGAAAGATGTTGAAGACGTTGAAAGAAATTATTATTCTAACTGGGACCACATGCCAAACCTTCTTCATGGGGTTAATGTCCTTTGTTATCTCTTCATTAACTGTTTATTAGTTTGAAAATTTTGTTTTTATATACAGCTATAACTGTTTATACTTCCTCTTCATCCTATTTCGTGTATGAAATATTTTGTGCGTGAGGTACACCTAATTCTAGCTTTCTCTTTATAAAGACATTTTTAACGTGGCTTGACCGTTTACACATTGGTCTTTGTATATGAAATTACTTCTTAATTTTTTTTTCTTATATTCACGTGTAAATACATGAGATGGCCACGTGATCTGGCAAATTCAGACTTTCATTACGTGCATTTCCCGCTGCGAGCAAAGTTTTTTGCATACATATCCATCCTCATTAAGAATTTTTCTTCCTCTTAGAATGTTCCCCTTTCTACTGCTTTCATCCTCCGCCGCTTCTTTCATCCTACGTTTTTTCATAACAATGGCCTACATTTTTCATTAAGGCATTGGTGTGAATCGGATTGTTGTTGCGATCTCAAATTAAGAAGTTTAGCACTTTGCCTAATGCATAAGGGCGTTGAATATTTTACCTTCTCTTTCCGCTTTATTTGAAAAAAAAAACCTTTCCTTGTTCCGTGACAGGGCTGAACATGTGTTATCGTTTTAATGAACGACACTTTTTACTCTTTTACGCTTTTTATTAAAATTTCTTTTTTCCTTGATTAAAATTTCAATTATTGTTCCGCCGAAAATGTTCTGACAATCGTACCAGTGTTCTCGACAAATTAAGAATAAATTCGTTTTGAAACGACTTCCATTGACGCATATATTGGTTAAAACCTGTTTTTGTTCTAATTGTGTTTGTTTTAGCTCAGTAAAATGGCTAATGAAACTAAGATGAAAACATCGAAGAAACATCTGTTTAAGAAATAAAACTTTCCGGGTTAAAATGTGATAACAATCTTGCTGCATTTTTAGCAAAACATTACTATATCATGTCACATTGCATGAAACGTACCAAGAAAAGTATTTAGAGGCAAATACCCTTTTCAGTCAAGCGGCAAGTTCCGTGCTTATACTAATCCCATTTTCATTCCAATGCCTCAGTCGGTGAAATGTTTTCGATTCGTCTGACTTCCCTTGCTTCACAGCGAGTTCCCATTTGGGGGTCGTTTTAATAATGCTCATGGCATTAATACATAAATGCACGGGTCTCAGCATTTCAGATCATGCACATTTATTGGCTAGAACTTCATAACAAAGCCCGACGACTTTTGTTTCCACTAATATAAATTGCACGCAAGCTTTTTTCGCCATCGTATACATGTTTTCCCGACAACAATACGCAGTGGAATTAAGATCCGAGAATCAAGTTACTTTTTCACCCAGCAAAATATTACATGATTTTGCTCTTTTTAGTGACTTACCTACGTCTAACCGAAATAAGCATCTAATAAGAACTTGCCAGTTTTCGTCAAGTAAATATTTGTGAATATATTAAAAAATTCTGCTTGAGGTTTACTTCAAGCTTGATTCTCCTGTAAGCTTAATAGATTGTTCCTTAGCTAGATCTTATATTTCATTTAGATTCTGGTTGCAGTGTAGTAAATTGTTTTTTAAATACTGCACTATTTATATATGTAAAAAAAAGCGTTTAGTCGCCTCTCGTCGACTGCGAGCCGTGACGTTCATTTAGTTAAAGGTTTTGAGCTGATGAATGTACGTTTTGGTGGCGCTGTTTACTCGCCATGTCGTAACGCTAATAACGTTTTGAAAAGACTCAAAACCTGGTAGTCACCGAGCGGCACATAAAATAAACCATAACCATGCACAGTTTCAGAGCACAAAATACAAGCGTAATTCAAGAGAAGTTTAGAATTAACACATTGTTTAAGACGGAACTCGTTGAAAACAGCACAAAGGGGGTTATATTTGTGAGTACCCACAAATGAATATGATTTACCTTTGTGAAGTCGTTGTTCAATGCCCTGTTCCTTGCCTTCATCGGTCATTTAAATTTAGTTTGCTCATGCAGTAAAGGATGAACATCCGTTGCAGTAGATCATCCGTGCTCATTTCAACGCATTTGCATTTTACTACGAAGCAAGAAAACTTTCCCTTCGTGAAACAGCGTATATACTTTGATCAATCATACGATAAACTGCAGTAAGGCGGAATAGCAATTTTAAGCAAATTAACCGGTGTATAGTCCCTGTCTGTAACACAGCGGGAGCTATCTGCTTTCGCCAATTTTTTTCCTTGAGTCGTTTTCTTGATGAGGTCACTAATGCTCACGGCATAATTATATTGGTTACCCCCCTTAATTAGCAAGCAAAGTTTGACAACAGGTTGTCAAGAGGACATCTGCGCCTAAGGCTATAATAGATCTTTAAGAGACCTTGTTTGCTTTCATTATCGTCCAAATTCGAAAGCTTCCCTTTGAAAGGTCAACTTTGGAGTCTTTTAACAATTTGGGCTCAGAAGTTATTCACGCGCCATAAAATTACTTCTTGGCAGTTTTCACTGGCAACGTTTTTGCCTAGTTCCAAGACGCCATTTGTCTCACACGCTAAATTCCTTTCGGGTCGCGTGGCCCAAATTAAAAAGCGATTCGGAATTTAGATACCAAACGAAATTTGCTTGGTCTCCGTGAAAAAATGTCAAGCTTTGGTCGATCTAAGTGATCGATTAATCTGCGTGCTCAAAATATATTAGATCAACCTTACACAGGAATAAATTGAAGAACCCCAATGTAAGCAAATACTCAGTAGCTTTAACCCTTTCACTGCCAAATGTAGCCAAAGGCAAATTTCGACCAGATTTCCAAATTTCATTTTGTAAAATTTTGAAAAACAAACAGCACCATGTGTAAGTACAGGCAGAGAGCTTCCATTTGAATGGTAACAGCATAGGATTTTGTCCACAGACTCAAAAGTTAGAGTCACCTTACAAAACTCCATCAAACTCTCTGGCAGTGAAAGGGTTAAACTTGCTTTCAGATACATCTCAAAGGAATCAAAACGAATGAATGTGCTCCTGTAACCCTTAGCCTGTTCATTTGTTTCAGTCTAGGCACCAGAATGCTTATGCTAAACTAGACTAACTAGGAACAACTCTGCACTTGCTAAATTACCACTGATCACTCCCATAAATGATACCTTACAGACGATTATTTGTTTACATTTTTTGCCTGATTAACATATATGCTTATCATTTACTCATCAAGCTATTAAAATACCATATCTGAATATTGTAAGAGCATAGCAATATCAATGGTCTCTGAAAATTTAAGCACGATATGCGAAATGGTTTCGGAGAATTTCTACTTTAAAAACTCGTAATTTTACAAAGAATTAATGACTTTTTAACTCTTTTGCCGCCCTTTAAACGCTGATATTTTCCTCGGTATTGCTTGAAATGAGCTGAAAATTGCAAAAATTGCTCAAGTTAACCAGCTCTTTCAACTTTTGAATTTTCGTGTATACATACGGCCACAACTTCTATGGGTTAAGTTGCATGCCAATGAGAAAAGATGTAATCAATGACGTCATCACCCACTGTTAACCAATAAAATCCTTCTGATTTCGATACCTAATCCCAGAAAAAACTTAACTAGAGGAAGCATCAAATCGATAGTGACACTTAATTTTGCCTGTTTGCTTTAAGAACTCGAATCTGCTTCCTGTGATAAAAACAAATGACCTGTTGTTATCTTCCACTTTATAAGCTTAGGCATTGTTCATGAAGTATTAAAAACATTGAGAGATGTATACCATCCTAATTAAAAAGATTCATTTTATTAGTTTATCTTACTTTGCAGCATACGTAATTACCTTGAAATTGAAGAAAACCTCGAAATATGGTATTGGTAAAATATAAAAACATCAAAGAGCTATAACTGACAACTGACTGTAAATATTAAGGATACTTTATATTAAAGGAGATTAAAAATGATTACAAACGACAAACTGGAATATTTAAGCCGCTCATATTTTTCCCGGCGTCGATACAAAAACCATGACGTCTCAAGGTAGCCGGTCTTTTAAAGTTAAAGTAATATTTCAAGGGGACCTTTACGTTCGTGTTTGCCACCATATAACTGTTAAAAGATGTCAATATATTTTGCTTCCGATTTACGTCAGCTTCACAAGGAAACAAACTCCATCATTTCTGTTGAATTTTTAACACAAAAATATAGACGGTAAAGGCCGTTTTGCAGTTCGTTTTGTTCTCTGCAATTTTACCTTATCCATCCAGATTCATCTGTTAATAAACTGCTCAGTCAACAAGCAGCGATTCTCAAGAACGTAGAGATTGCTACTCTCCCGGTGTGGGAATGCCAGTACAACCGCGTCCCCCTCCCACTTACGCCCCTACGTATCTCTTATCATCACCATGAGAAAACCGGTGTATTTTGAAAGTAGTATCGAGTCTATTCTGCATTTTGTGTCATTTTAAGAAGTCGCTTACCAAGAATAAGTCTTTCGAAATGGAGGCTTTTCAGGCCGTCAGATGAAAGCCATCTTTTTCAATTAAAACACTGTCATTTAGTTTCAATTAAGTACACGATGCCATCTGTTTGAATAATATACGATTCTGATTCATTACCTGTGACGAGGCAATGCACTTTTCACGCTTTTGTTACCTCAAACAAGAATCAGAAAATTTTTGTGGCAGTACATTCCAAACTCATATTCTGCAACAGAATCAAAGAATTCACGTATCCGGCTAAGAGAAACATTCTCAGTATTTCTCCATGTTATGTTTTTGTTGTCGGTTTGTAAACAGTTACGCATCGGTGGAAATCACCCTTTTTAAGCGTCTAGAATGGAGAACTACATTCTGCCTTACCTCATAAATATGTTTTCTCTTTGGATAGGATTTTTCAGAATTATGTGAGCAGCTGAAAATCATTCAGTTTCATGACCAAGTGAACATGACAGTCCGACTGCACCTCTTATGTGCAATAACAGCCGTCTTCTCCGCCTGGAGTGATATCTCACAGTGTAATTACATATTTTCCTGGGGTCTTGTCTTATATCAATAATTCTAACGTTTCGTTCACTTAGTCCTGTCAAACTGCGGTTATTAGAGAAGCGTAACCATGTATTTAGTTTGGGGCTTTATTTACATGAATATTTAGCGATGACATCCTCGGGGCGATTAATAATGAAATAGGGCTTTCATTTAAGGGGCATAGAAAAGGTGCTTAGCTTATGCAACTTTAAGCACCAGATTAAATGGCCTTTTCTTATGTATTATGGCTTTTTGTTGGAATTAGTCGTTGCCTACTTTTTAAATGTTATGTAAGTTAGAATATTTAGAAATACAGCAATGAAACAAACTAAATATTTCAGTGGTCGACACTAAAAATGTTGCAGTGAAAATTTAATACCTGCTTATATGGGTCGTGTCGATGTATAATGTTATTTTCACTCAAATTAAAATCTGTGTTCAATTGGTTCACATCTCTCTCTCTCTTTTTTTTTCCTATCTGATGTTCTAAAATATTATTTTCAAGATCAAATGATAAAACAAAATTCACGTCAAACACTTAAATACAGCGTGAGGCACCAGACAGCTGCACTCGGTTTTCTCGTTAAATGGGTTTGAATTTTAATGCCCTTTATATCCTTTTAACGATAGAAATAAAATATTTTGTGACCCAATGTAATGCTAAAACGTCCTTTAAATCCTTTTGAAAACCCATAGGCATATTATCCAATTGGTTGCAGGAATTTGATCACGTGCACCCAAAGGTCTTTATATCTGGCAAAATTCATCTAATTGCCTGACTGTCAGGGCGAATAATTCGAATTACGACTTTTAGAGGGAAAGTGGCGCTGAATGATTTCAACAACAGACTGAATGAAAAGGTGGACATTTTATATTAAAGAAATTATTGAGTATTGTATAAAGAGATCACTCTGACTAGTTAACTATTAATTGAAAAGTAAAATCTATAAAACCCATCGCAGGATGTTCAGCCTAAAAGAGATATAATAATAAAAATAGAATCGAGGTCATAAACAGTCTTTCAAAATTAATGACCTCTCCATTAGGTCTCTCTAGTCTATCCATACTTCTTGTACTGCAACTTAGTTTGGGCCTCTACGTACAGAACTAACCTTATTCGTCTTGAGATTTTACGGAAACGAATGATCAGAACTATAGCTAAAACTCCTTTCGAAGTACATACTGATCCAATCTTTCCAAATCTTGGTATCTTAAACTTTCATGATATACTTAATAAAACTAGGCTCATTCATGTACTCCTATCAAAATCATACTCTACCTTTAAAATTTCATTGTAAATTTTAGCGTACATTCATTTGTATATAACACAAGAAACTCTCGCAAATTTCGTCTGCCTTTCTGTCGTACTGGAATCAAACAATTTTCGGTATTTTCAGTATCAAGGACCCATATGTTATTACACCTTAAACACCAACATCATCAACGCTTCCTCCCCTTTTTCCTTTAAAACAGCACTTAAGGCATTTATTTGTAATAATTATTAGTATACTCTAGCAAAAATCTTGGGAAAAAGCTGTTTAATATTCAACATTTGTAAACTTCCTTAATATTAAATGTTTTAATTTTCCATCTAATAATATTTTGTATCCGTCGCCGTAATTTTTATGCCATCTTTGAAAAATTGTAATTGAGGAGGCCTAATTAACACAAGCCGTTTATAGTTTCCTTTAGACATCCTCTTCATTTCTTCCTACATTTTTTTGTATCTTTTTCTAATTGTAATTATGTTATGTGTGGCAGAAGAAATACAAATACAAATTAGATTGCATGGCGCATAGATCTAGAATTAGTAAAACTTTCCTCGTCATTACCGAGGCAAGTGTTCTAAAACGCTTAAATTGTGAACTTCAGTTTCCCCATTTAAAGTATATTTAATATCCGCAAAAATCATAAAAGAAGGAGGAGATATAACGTTCAATTTGTAGTGAGGATACAGTGGCTTTCCACGAGTCTCTTGGGAGAATGCTAAAGTTGTGAAAAGAGACTTCGGGAAAGAGAGTGAAGGAAGAGGGGTTCAAAGGAAAAATGTCCGCAACAAATCGATTAATTATAATTACAGTATAATCTGCCTTGTAAATGTTTCGCGACGAAACTGGGAAGTGATAAATGGTGTTAATTTGGGAAAAATTTTCATGTGCGCGAACTGAACATGATTGTCCCACCGCCCCCTCCCCCCTGTTGTTCTAATCACCCCGAGTCCCTTGGTCCATTGGGATATCACTAGCAGCATCAAAAGAGAATAATGGGGCAGAGAGGGTTCCCCCCAACCCCGAAATTCCCATGGGGTATGTGAATTTCACCAAAGATATTTTAAAACCAACTAAACGCTTGAAATTGATTCCAAGTTGGAGAGGTCCGCAAACTTTGTTCAGGGTTGTCAAGAGAGAATAACGGGATGTTATGATCCCTTGGTGTGTCACCATTACAATATTTTGCATTGTTTGCTTTGCGGTAGTCGCGCGTAGATTTGATGACAAACAATCGATTAAACTGTGCGGGCGTCCCAGGAATTAGACTTCCGCTTAATTGCAACCTCTAAAAATAGCTTTGGTGAAATTCACATTTCCCGGCCGACGCCCTATAATGCCCTCTATCTCGTTATCGTCTGTTGGTAGCTTTTGATGAATAGTGATCGTTTGTCACATGAATTTCATTTTGACGCTTCTTTTCTTCTAAGCAGAAGTTAAAGTTTATGTATCTCTAGGTCTTTCAGTTCTTTCCGCCTTCTTTCTCATCTGCTTGATTTTCGCTTGCAAATCGTCCACATTGTAAACACTGAGCATTTGCTTTTTGAAAATGTCTTTTTCCTGGATAATTGGAATTGGAAGTGCAACAAGGATCACTCCCGCTACACAGCAAGCAGCTCCAACCACCTGGCCTAGAAGGGTAGAAGGAACCATGTCGCCATACCTGGAAAATATACCAAGAGAAAAGATGGAAAATATTAAGCGCAGCTATGAATGAGAGGGAGATTTAATTCGTCAACCAGTCACAAGCGTTGGACATAGAATTAATCTTTTGTTTCTGACAGCATTTGAACCTCCCAGACACTACGTGGGCCCACGATCCACAAAACTATGGAGACTCTTGCATAGGCCCGCCCCTACAAGACTTCAATGGAGAAAAAAACTGGAAACGAGGTTGTCTTGGGAGCGATGTGTATATGACACCTGTTCTGCATACTGCTAGGATCAGCAATATCGATAGCGTACTGTATGGTGATGAACACAGAAAAATGTAACGACCATCGTTTACCATGATTAAACGAGACGCGCAAGTTGTTCTACCGAAATTCTCCGAGATTCCCTTGTCGACTTTGCGGGTTTACACAAATGCGCTCGCATAAATTGGGCAGAAGAAGTTCATTGGTAAAAAGGGAGGAGGGGAAAGTCGTTGCTACCCCTTTGACTCTCTACAATTTCTCTCCGGGTAACCTCCCTCGCGCAATCCTTTTGCCTCTATCAATGTTGTAATATTGTGAAACCTAACCAAGGGGTCTTAAAACTTTAGAAATGGCCGGGGGCAGGAGCCTATCACACCGGGGGAGATAAGCTTGCTTGAAAATGCCTGAGCACTTATAGACAGAAAACATGCCTTGGTAATAAACTCACTCACCCAAGTGTAATCATGGTCACAATTGTATACCACATGCTGTCAGGGATACTAGTGAACTTTCCATCCACTGCTTTACGCTCAATAAAGTACATCATGCTTGAAAACACAACAACTGCTATAATCAATACAAACATTAGCGACATGAGATCCGTCACACAGCTAACCATAGCGGCACCAAATCTTTGAAGGCGTTTGGAATGTCTTGTCAGCTTGAAAACTCTAAAAATTCTCAATACTCGAAGAACTACGAAAGCCTCTAAGTTCGACCCCACCACTGACTGTAGTAGTATTGTCAAATAGAAAGGTAAAATCGATAAAAGATCGATAATATTCATTGGGTTTTTAACGAAGCTAGTAAGGCTTGGACAGACTATGAGTCTGAGAGAGAACTCCACTGAGAATACACCGACGCAAATGACGTCTAAAAGATCTAGAATTCTTACTCTTTCCTTGCAGAACTTTTCTTCGCTTTCACAAGGAACTGTTTCGTAGACGGTAGTAAAAATGCTGAGGATTATAAAAAGCCCTACAATGTATATGATCACCATGCCAACGAATGCCCTTAAACCGGATTGTGCTTCACCCTCCAACAGCACCCACATCCAGTTACGTGCTCGAGATAGACGACTTCGATTTACGGGCTTCTCAACTGTACTCTTTAAGTCCGAAGCAGAACTTTTGCTTTCTTCGTGATTCTCTTGATCGTGTTCGTCATCAAAGCAACACTCGTGAATTTCCTGTGGAGTGATTCCATAAAACTGTAGCTCTTCTTCGAAAGAAGCATTGCAGTCTTCGAACGAACGATGCAGCTTCCCACAGCGATAATAATTCAAGATATAACGAAACAAATGTGGATCGCGGTCTATAAAATACTCCTTTTTATCCTTGTCATAAAAGCGCGCTACTAGTTCCTCCGAACCCAGAAGCGTCTCAGGAAAACGCTTAAGCGTGTTCCTCCACGTGACAAATCGACGGCCTCCGACGTTAAAGATTACCTTTGCGTCTGGGCGCCGTCGTTTTAGTCCTTGTAAACACGCATATCCCGTAGACTGGCGACGAGGTAACGTTGAGGAACGCCGCTCCCTTTTGTAGGGTGACTTTGCTGGTATAGAGCCTAGGTTGCTTATCATTCTGTAGTTGCAGAGTCTGGGTGACTATCTAAGACGTAGTTGCTGCCCTGATTGAAAAGATAAGGGTAACATGAGCAGCAAAAAAGGACCATGACGAAACTTTTTTTTCGAGGCAAGTGCAAGCCGATGTCAATTCGTTGTTCATACCACCCCCCCTCCAGCCGCTGCTTCCCCATTATGCTTTATACTTAACAGTGATATAAATGTAAAATAGAGAGAGGATTCTAAGTCAGTCAAAACATCAATATGTTAACCTGGCACACACATCTATGAAGTCAGAGCTGGAATAATTTCATTGACTACGCACAGGGCACTCAAACCCTTGTCGAAATGACTTGTTGCCTTTTTCTTGCAAAATCCATAGTGCTTGAAGGATCAAATCTAACCTACAATTTCAGTGAATTAATCTTAAAATGAATGCAATTTAAATATGTGAGTTATCAGCGTGGTTCCTCTCAAGTTGCACGTTACGACAGTATAAATACCTCTAGAAGCGAATTTTTAAAAGTCAGCCATAATGAACTAACCTTAATTAAGGAAGCATTGTGGCAAAGCCAGTATTGAATTTATTGCCATTGCCTTGAGGGCCGCCATTTTTTCGCAACAAAAGCAGTCATTTTGTAAACACGATTGGTTATAATAGTTTCTTTAAAGGATAAGCTTCAATGCATACGAATAAAATACACCGATAAGTGCGAAGGATGTAGTTTACAGCTTCAATTAGGGATTATTCACTGAATGAGTTCTCATTAAGCCAAGTTGACTTACCATTAAAATAGTGGTGCTCGATCCACGGCGTAGTCACTTTCAAAGAACAATTCTTGGACGGCTCAACTGCAGCATTAAGAGAATAAAATCCGTTTTCAATTTCGATCTAAAAAAAAATGAACTGTACCCGTCAGGTTTCAATAAATCGACGAGTGCGATCTTTTCCGGTCAAGGCTTTTTATCCTGCATGTTACACTCCACAACGCAGCATAAATACGGTAACAAACGCCGCTCAATAACACAAATAAAACATCACAAATGCTCAAGTGTTCGGCCTCCTTTTAAAAGATATCCTGTTGTCTTCTAACAATGCAGAAATAATCAAATGCAACCCTAATGGTTTCTTTCGTTGTTCGTCACCTAGGTTGTTTCGACAAGGTATTGATCATAACACTCAACGATGCTGATTAAAATGCGTTATTAAAATACAATTTCAAGCGATCGCAGGTAGAGTTGAAACAATATCGTTCTCCTAATCATATACTCAACTGAAATATCCCTCTTGATGTTAAATATGACAATGAGGAAAAAGGTGTTAGTTTAAATGTCAGTTGCTAAGTTCGAAAACGTTGGGTGGCCGCGTCAAAACACGTTTTCCCATTGGCTCGTTTGTGAATACAGCAATGAATTTTTAATAATGTTATTGCTAATGTTTTACTGTACCTATTCACCGAACGAGACACCAGGTTGAATGAGTTGAAGCACTTGCTTTACTGCATAAATACTGAATATATATGTTGAATTATTCTGACATTCTTATTTCGATAAATGAATACAGCTATTCTTCCGGCATCAGGAAAATGATATTCCTATTACCATTTAGACCAGACAAGACAAGACATTTAGTATCATAATATTGCAAGTACAATTTCTTGCCACGCAGTTAGCAAAAGAAAAACGCTAGTCGAGGCGTACCAAATTATTTATATTACAAATCAGATATTACAGATAATAAGTAAAAAGCAAAGAAAAAGAAAAGAAGAAATATTTGTAATAAATTCAGAAGCAAGAAAGACAAATCTGTTTTGTGCAACCTGTGAAAGAAGCTATAAGGTTTAGGATTTCGCGATTTTATTTCTCGTGTTATCATGGTTGCATCAAGGTAATCATCTTTGTCTTTTAATGTTTCAGATTAAAGAAGTTGTAAATTAGTATATTTTTTGTTCGATTTTCGCATATTGTTTAAGTTCGCTGGACCCTTGCATCCTGGTTTGTCCCAGGCTCTCAGACAATAGGTATGGCGCGCACGTGAAAAGCACACGTCCTCTCCCCAGCTTCCCCCCGTTTTATTTTCGTGTTCGCGCTTTCTTATTAGGGAGCTTAAGCAGCAACGTTTTTGAGCGACGCACGTCAACCGGAAGTGAGGTATTTTCCCTCTTAACATGCCTTGATGATATAAAATTTATATTCCTTAGCTTCTTTACTGTTATAGAGGCGATTTGACTGAAAATTTGCGCGAAACCACCGTCAAAAAATGAAAAAAGGCCACTTCCGGTTGACGTGCGTCGCTCAAAAACGTTGTTGCTTAAGCTTCCTAATTTTGCGAACCCGACTATCTCGGAGCCTGGAACAGGCTACTGCTTAATGTAATGTGGAGCCGATAAAGATTCGACTATGTAATGTGTACGTTCTATTCCACGGAGCTGAGAGCGGCATTAGTAGTGTGACCAATTTTTTATCCTCAAGATCAACATTTTCCAGCCTATATGTACTTGTTGAAGTCCAGGAGTTTACTTGAGACCAGGCGTTCTTTTTGTTCGAGAGCGATCAGAAAGGAACGCTCGAAAAGAGTGGTGATACCCAAGCGTTCCTTTTTTTCTTTCTTGGTCGTTTCGCCTGCTTTTGAGCTCCCGAAAAAATGAACGCCTTAAGATTACAGAACTGTGGACGTCAAAATTCGTGGAAAAACTGATCTAAAAATAAGCTGTTTGTTTAAACACCTTGACATGTTCATAGAAGTTGAAAGTTCCTCGTTATAGACTCCCTTGTCCTTGTTAACTCACGTTACACATCTTCGGTGTGAATGTTTCGGTTGCTATGTCGTAATCTTCAGGTTAGAATTGCTCCTCCCCGCATAAATAGGCCTGGCCGTAAGTCACCTTCTACAATTACCGCACAGAATTCATAAAGCACAATTGTAGTTTTCCTGTAGATGGACTCCCGCCGTTGATTCATCAATGGGTTCGTCTAAAAAGACCTTGTTTGGTATGACTAAAACAAAAAACAGCCGCACCGCGGGAAAATACTGCTCATTTCATTTGACTGATCACTTAAGCTAGAATTCAGCTAGATTTTTAGTTCACGCCGTCGCTAAAAAGTTATAACCTGCTCCTACTTCTTAATATAAAGGAGCACAAGGAAGCGTTCCTTAGTGGCTCTTGTTTAAACCGCCGGAGGGATTTTGTCCGTGTAAGCAGAGAATCGTCGACACGTCCACTACGGTAAAATCTTTCTTTTATTTGAGCTTGTGGGTCACGATAGCTGTTGAAAATGAAACTGGTATTCATTTTAAGAATGGGGAACTCAACCTGTATAAGAAAGATTTATTTTAAGCCGACAAATTCATAATATATTGTCGCTTGATAGTATTTCGCTTTTCACGTTTGTCCATTTGTTCACATCTGCGTCTAATATTTGAGATTCAGTAGTAAAGGCGGTCTCTAACCAGTACTACGAGATGTCAGTACGATAATCTGTTAGTTGAACGCGTTCGCTCAGTCCAACGAAACTGGGATGAAAAAAAAATCATCATTTGAAAAAGATTATTTCTGTGGACACTCAAGAGAGACGATGGCGGTCACAAGCAGGCCTGATATTTAGTGCGCGGAAGAGTTTTCTTAATTTTTGATATATATCATTGGTAAACGATTGATTGAAGTGGAACACGAAATACGGTTTGCTGTTTTCATTTGTTTATCCTACATATTAAGTAACTGGCTGCTCAAAAAGAGTTGCTAGCTAAAAAACGCAATCTTTGTTATTCGATTTTTATTACTACTGGTAAACGATTTAATTTATGTACAAAAACTAAAGTGAAGATCAAATACGGTTTTGCCTTTGTTTAAAATATTAGTAGCTGGCTAAATATAACACTAAACGTTACTAGCCAAAAAAATATATATTTTCGTAAAATGAGGTTATATAGAATTGAAAATAATGAGATCCGCAACTATAAAATAAGATTACTGACGCATTCACCTTCTTTGTAATCTTTATCCAGAAATTCGCTGGTCATGTTTCCTTAAAATCATGATTCCTTAAGTAGGCGTGAAAGGCGAAATCGTGCCGAAAGAGTTGAATGAGGTTTCAACGCAGAGCTATTTACCTGCAAAGATTAGATCTCAAAAGCAAGTCAAAGTACCGCACCTGCGGAAGATATATTGTTTTGTGACGAAAGAGCCAGCGGGATGGCATCTTGAAACTTGTCTTCGTTTTTAAAATACGCTATTGTTACAACACGTCACGTTTCACTTGCGAACAGGAGAATTGCGCTTTTTAAGCGGAAAAATTCGGTTAAGGAAGTGTTCTTCAGTCTTGCTAAAAATGCGCTTCTGAATCGCATTGATGATGAACTGTAAGGCAACTCGAGGTTGCATAATTTTAGTTCCATTAAATACGAACTAAAACTAACTCGATCGTGAAAAGAACCACACTCAATTTTAACATGTCTGTTAAGTTTAAAACTGCATTACAGCATTGATATAGACGAAAGAGAGAATAAATCTGGTGTTTAAAAATATCAAAGCAAGATATTTTATCCTACATCCAAATAGGCTAATTTCACGTTCAAGATAATGGATTTCCACGTAAAATTATCCCGGGATTTCAACAAATCTAGCTTCACCTGCGCTGTGGGGGGAACTGCTCTCACCTACGTCAATATGAATCGTAATCTTACGCTCTACAACAGATCGTTCACAGATAAAAACCACCAGAAAAAATAATGTTTTTAGACTTTATAAAAAAATCGCTTTGCTTGTTGCAATACGTTTGTATCTTTATACATTTCGTAACTGTCGATCGAACGCTTAATTAAAAAACGTTGAATAATATTAATGACTTTCACGACAGCATTCAAATTACCTGTAGAATTCACTGTTCATCGCTGTTCTTTGTTTATTAAAACTCTACAGAATCCGTTCACTTTCCAGGCACTTGCGACATTTCAAGGCAGACAAATAGCTTCAACAGAGACATGAATATCGATTTTAGCGTCTTAAAATGTGCTAATGACCGGTGCGTTCAAAAAAGTCTGATTGACACTTTCCTAAATTTTAATTTCGAATTTGAATACGTGTTTATTTTCTTGTGAATTTTGTTTATTCGCTGATATGAAAGTTTTTAGTGCAGCTGAGAAAGTTAAAAAAAGCAAAAATAAAGATTTCGCAGGTTCGGATTATCTCGCTTCTGTCTCTCTCTTAAGTTAGAGATTCTGCGAATGCGAATGGATGCATTGGATAAATACCTCTCTACGTGACAACACATTTACACCTGTTATTCATTAAGCAACCTTTAAGACACAAATCATATTTTGAATTTTACAAAAGCATAAATGACATGAACTATTTAAGCCAACGATTAAAGCATAAATATTAAATATTAAACTGAAAACTTGCGTGATGAAAAAACATGAGTTGCACGAAAAATGATAAATTCGGACCTGGTGGCATAATACGTCCGCAATGCATCTGCTTTTGTTTACTTTTGACAAAAAGGGAGTCTGTTAAAACTGACGTCTTTCAGGGGGATTTAAACGGCGGCGCCAACTGTGAGCTTTTACCTGTGTTGACATATTTAACATTCAAAAACAAATGTTGAATATTCTGCTCTTCTTTGTTTAAGGACATGGCATACTCGGTCTGAGACTGGGGCTAGCAAATAAGCCGGGAGGGACTGAGTAAGACTCGTGTCTTTCCCATCACGCTACGATATGTCACGTGGTATCCAGTCACGAAAGAAGTTGCATTGAAAATAATCCAAAGATTAGAAGAGATTTGAATATAATACCTCTTCATCGTAAGCTTTTCCGGGTCTTTTTTTTTTCGGGGGGGGAGGGGCGGTGTTCGGGATGCGCAACGTTTTTGTATTGTCATCCGATATTTTCCACATGCTTCTCAGTTTTTACATATTAAAAGGATGAGAATAGATATCACAATTTAGAAATAAAGCCTTGCATGTGCTTGATAATTGTCAATTTCTTATTAAATACGGCTGTTAAACTGTAAAGACAGACGAAGAGAATTCTTTACAAACGTTGAAATTGTGTCCAAACCTTGAAGATGGACTAAGACGTTATAGGGGAGAATAGAATGAATAAATAAATAAATAAACAAGCTAAGAAGCCGAAATTTTATTTGGAACGGGTGTGTGACCGCAACCGTGGATCAAAACACAACTTCCACGTAGTCGTACATGGAGTACTAACCACAGGCCGCGTGCTCTTCCGATTCCGGCTCTACATATGTATTCTATTCGTGTGGTCTTCATCGGTCGAGAATACAGATAAATCAGTTTGTCCCCTACTAATTGCTTTAGAGTTGTAACTTACTTACTTAAGAAAGTTAAAGAATCCGCGATACAATATGATGGAATCAGTCATTTACCATCTTTCATGAGTTGGACATGCGCATGAAGCTGTTGTCAAAAACACTAATCACTCCAGTTTTGAACAAAGCCGTTAAGTTTGAAACAGCAAGGTGCCTCATTTCCAGCTGAGCAAGCACAGTAGCAAGATCGCAATGCTTTCAGTAACGGGAACTTTCCAACACTACTCTTCCCTCCATGTAAAGGATTCCGGAATCGGGAAATTTCTTCATGTGCAATTTGGAATCAAGCAAATTTTTGCTGAGGAATCCAGAATCTGGGCTTTGGAATCCGGAATACAGCTCAAGGAATCCGGAATCCCACTGACGATTGGAATCTGGAATCCATGTTCCACAGACTAAGAATCCGGAATCCACGGCGTAGAAATCCAGAATCCTTCCTTACATGGGGCGATTAGTGTTAGGTGCAGATCCCAAGGACAATTAATGCCAGACCACCGCGCTTCATGCTGAGCAAAAATATAGTCTTGAAATTTCCCAGCATCATTTCAGTTCTCTTTACGAAAGCCGGCGAAAATGGAAAACATCTTAAATAGTTGTCATCAAATCCTTAAGCCGCGATAAATTTAATTCGTTAAAAATAAGTAAACAACTTAAAAGTAAGGGCTTTACAGAACGTGAACCACAACAAACGCATGTTGCGGTTGTAATGGAAACAACGCATTATACAGTTGCAAATAGTATTATATAGGCGTCTAGTATTCTCTCGGGCATTTGTCTTCTTTAAAGCCTGAAAACCTCAGTAGAGACTTACGGACCTACAAAGCGATTAGTCATTAAAGTCCGTCGATCCGTCTATGCTTTTCTCAGAATCTTTTAGTTGTCTCTGCCACGACATTTTTGAATTTCCAAAACTTTCATTTCTTTGCTTTTGGTTCTGCTTTTGTCAACAAAACTGAACAAACACAGCGCTCAGAACGATGAAAAATTTAATGTGAAATTCTGAAACAAAACTAAACAATTCTTGTCGTGAATGCAGTACAGAGCGATAAAAAGCCGAATTTTCTGAGAAAATTCCTGGTTCTGCGTAATCGATGACTTAAAGAAAAGTTATTGTGAATGTTAGTTCCTTCATCAAGATTAATTCTGGTTCTGTCCACAATATTTATAGTAATAAAGGCAAAATGATGATTGATTCTACAAGCAGACTCGTAATATTTGAGGCTTAATTAATTTAGTTAAGGCATTTATCAGGAGGCCAGCATTTACACAGTTATTGCTGTGGTTATAAACATATCAATTTTAAATACAGCGACTGAGGGATCAGTGTAACGCTGAAATTTTGGAAATTGGCCTTCGATGATGCATTTAGGTTTATAAACTTGTAAAGAGATCACTGTTGTAATATAAAACGATTTCAATGTTAATTAAACTTAAACACCTTACCTTTGCTAGGCAAGCAAGCTAGGATAAAAACCAAGTAGAGACTAGGGTTTTAGTCCTAGGTATTTCCGCAGTTTTGTTAGTAGGAAAATAATCACCCGCTTACAGGCGAACAGCAAAACAGTTTCAACCATTAGAACAAGTCGTTTCGAGAACCATTGGCATAAATAAATAATAAATTGAAAAACGCAAGTATTTATTAAACAATCTTATGGAGACAAAAAAAGTCTCCTGTATGTTTATTACATTTGTTGCTAAGCAACTAGCCATGGGTTAGAGGTCCGCTGTCCAGCAGTAGTTGCCGCTTAAGCTCCATTCACACTCAGAGGAGGATCGAATAGTATCCCATGATGCATTTTTCCAGAAGCATCACGCAATATCGCTGTCATAGCAGATTCCATCTTGAAATAAGGTCGTTTTCTCGTCCGCTTTTTTCTCACTCGATTTCCAGTAAAAATAAAAAAATTACATTATTTCGTTACTCGACATGATTTCTCCGATTTGCAATGGCTTAGGAGCGAAGTTTCCACATAGAAACATTTATTTTCATGGTTTCAATTAGTCTTCCCATCACAAAGTGTTCAGTGACCCACAACCAGGTCATGAATATTCAAGATTTTTTGGAATAACCAGCAAAATGAAGTCCTGAATATTGTACAGGCTAAGAAGTACCCAGAAGTACCCACATTTTGAAGACTTTTTTGTCGACCAAAGATGGCTGAAATTTCGAATCTTTTATCACATTTCAACGCCATGTGTCATAATATATGTGTAAAGCCTGATGAAGGCTACAATCTGTTGGGCGCTTTTGAGATAATGCGCTCTTCATGCCGAAGTCAATCACTTTGTATTTTCAAAAAAGAGGTTATTTTTTGGAAAACAAGGAATTTGACTATAATTATTTTAATTCGAAGAAGGAGTGTTTTGGTTTTGCGGTGTATAACGGTGTGTTTCAGTGTGAAAAGAACCCAAAGAAAAAAAGCCCAATACCAATACGCCCCCAGCATGCAAGCCTGATGAAGGCACAACGTAAACTGAAGCCTGCTCAGAATTTGAAAACTATAATTATTTTAAACATCAGAAAAGAACTTTATTTATTCAAAAGAACAGATCAGTATTCTGGCCAGGAAATTTCCTTGAAGATTGCTTGAGTCAGTACCGGGTAGACTGTGCTTCAGAGAATTGTTTGTCGCATCGATAGGTTAAATTTTGTTTGTAACCGCCATTGTAAACTTCAGCTCCTTTGAGCGCGATGCTGTAATAAATTCTCCTTTGGTAATTAGCTTCACAGCGTAGCGGATCTTTTGTTGGAACCACTTTATAGATCAGTCATAGTTTTGGTTCTCCTCTGGCCTGGGTTCTCCTAGTGAATCTAGCGAAGCTTACCAATTGCGAGTCTTATTGCGAGTCTTATAATTTGTGTTTACAGTGCGACCGAGCGCGGCACAAGTAGTTCTCGACAGATCAGTGAAATACATGTAAAACCCTTCTCAGTCAAAGCAACGCTGAAATTCTCCTTTAAAGAACAGTGAATTTAAGCCAACTCGATAATCTCAAAAGCAGAAGCTGCTGAACCGAAACATGTTTGGAAGCCATCCACATCGAGCACTGCGATCGATGTTCACTTCGCGCGTGCTGAAGATTACTGATCATGATGTGTCACGTACGCAGTGATAATATAACATGAATCGAGGTGCATCATGGGATACTATTCGATCGTCGTCTGATTCACACTATACTAGTTAGGAACCAGTCAGTTCTTTTCGGGCTAGTTCTCCTTCAGTGTGAACTTCTAAATAACGGTTTTCTCAGTCAATCGCTTTATGTGACTACAGTGACTACAATTTATAACGTGGGAAGTGGTGAAAAGTCCGAAGTCGGAAGTCAGAAGTCGGAAGTCGGAATTAGTCGGAAGTCGGAATTAGTCGGAAGTCGAAAGATGACCCTCCTCAGCTTTTGTTTAGACCCTAGCATGTACTGAAAAGTCACCGGACTAGTTGCCTTATGGCTTTCTATCCAATTTTTTCGTGCTCTTTCCATCTCAGGTATTATTTAAGTAGTATTCCCTAATTTTGGCAATAGGAAGATCACGTGACTGCTAGCTGGAGAGGGTTAGTATTCTCTCCAGTCTCCGCACGCTTGTCATAAGTTTTGTAATTAGTTACCAGACTCCCCTTTTTGCTTCAATGATGAATAAAGTCATACGTTAGTTGCGAAACATCATGACTGCCTTAAATGGATGCGAGCAGTTAATTTTGATAGAGGTATGTAGCTCTCTACATCAGATATATAACTTGTCTCCGTATCTAGCCTTCGTAGCAAGCGTTTCTAATCGAGGAGTATTTGGCAAAACTTGGAGCAAGAGCAAAAGAAATGGAAGATCCCTTCATTCCTAATCAGTCCCAATTTTCTCGACAAACTTGCGCGCTATGCAAGCTACTCCATATCGCGCTTAGAAACATAGCGATTTTATCCCATCACTGTAAGATGGCCAAAACAAAAATAAACGTGCATTACATACCAACAGGATGTCATGTCCATGTGTGACCTTAAAAGGAGGCCAAAAAAATTCCCGCTCATATTGACTTTCATTATTAGTAGAGTTCGACCGGAAACACCCTGCTAGCAGTGGTTTGTTCAGCTTCCGGCATTGAGTAACCAAAGCTATAACCCAGGGCAGCGTCGTAAACTGTAAAGGAATTTATCAGGAAGACACTCACGTCCAGCACTCACTCTTTGCAAAACTTGGAATTCTTACAATTTTTTAATTGCGATAACAACTGCGATGTTCATATCTTCATTTATATCCCTTAGCAAGACTGCTTGGAATTTATTTTATCTGTTTAGAAATATTTTATTTGAAATACCATAAGATACATTATACAGATTTGATAACAAGAATGAACTAATCTGCAATAAATATTCAAAAGCTTCTAGTTTGCTTGTTTTCTGTTTTGGACCCTCCCTTTTGAGTAATTTTCTTAGACAATTAACACAACATTAACTCTATTTTGAAAACAAACTTTGCATTCAAATACATTAAATATTTGGGTACTTCGTTCCCAGTTCTGCTTTTATACACAATTCTAACAAAAGAAAGCATGGAGACTATTTTCAAACTAACGTTGCTTTTTAAAATACATTAAATATCTATACACTGGCGTTAACAATTCTGCTTTTATAAGTCCGCGACCTCTAATCTTCTTACTAGTCGAATGTATTGAGCAATCAATAACATTTCCACATATTTTGCCACATTCATCAGGTAAACGATCGACCTCCCAAAGAGGAGACAGTTGGAAATTCTTTCCGTGTTCCTCTGAAAACCTAGTAATCTACGCAGTTTTCAGTTCTTGGAATTTCTTCTGACATTAACGGCTTTTTGTTTGAGGAATTAATGTGAGATTTAATCTCTTAATACCATGTTCTTAATTCAGTATGTGTTAACGCCAAGAACTCTATTAGCGTTGAAGTCGAAGACACTCGTGCAGCTCGGAGCATGAGATAGCGATGTTCTACTGAGCGAAAGCGTCGCAAGCTTAAGTCTACATCTCTGGAGCATTTCCTTAGCAGTGAAGGAATGGCAAACGTTGCGAGCCAGAGGCCTAGAAACCTCAAAGTCCAGATTTTCAGTTGGAATACTATCCCGTCTTCCAATCCACGAAGTTGGATCCATTACTAAAGCCTCCGCTGCTGCATAAAGAATCTCTGCAAGCCATCCATCTCTTTCTCTTTCCGAGAAACAGCTGAATAAATATGTCCGAGACGCTCGTTGGGGCGACAATGATTTTTTTACTATCTTTAAACAGTATTTGCTTCGTTTATCTGGTAACTCGTCTATGTACACTGACATGTCGTTGAAGAATATAAGTCCTTTTGGTACACCCGTCCTCGACTCCTCTTCGTTTTGATAGTAGCACAAACATTCTCTGCTGAGCACAAAATATCTAAGGTTCCATTTTTTAAGAACATCACTTTTCTTTAGCAGATATCCGCACTTTAGGATTGCCTGTTTCCTTTCTCCCCTCATCTCTGCAGTTCTCCGACTGAGTTCTTCAAGAGATTTCTTTTGAGCGGCAAGGAACGTCAATTTCATATGTTTCAGTCTATCCGCGCTGAACACCCTTTTAAACTAAGCGAAGCACTAAATTCCTCGAAATTTACGAACACCTTTCCAAGAACTTGACGTAAGGACTGAGGCTAGCGTCAACGGTCCAGCGTAAAACTGACTAACTCAAAAGCTATCTCCTTGGTAGTGATATAAATATTATTTTCAGCACTGACCTTTAGACCACACGTAAAGAGATACCGCATTTAAGTATCTCGCGTGACTTTTAGTTTTAACTCCTGACAAATGAAGAGTCACAAGACACACAAAACTAGGTGTGGCAAACAATGGCGCAATTAATGTATATTATGGCAATTACGTGAAGTCTGGAATCAAAATACTGGCAACTATGAGTTGCTAAAAAAGAGGCATACATAATGATGTAGTGCGGTGTTATCGGTTACACATAAAAAGAAGATGGGTAAAATATAGCCTCAAATGAGTTAAGTAACCCTAGCTTTAGCATAGAGGGAGTGTCAGTCCCTTGGCAGCAATCCCGAAACTATTCACCCATTTCTATCCGCTTCTTTCTGTGCGAGCCGTAACACAAGAAGAGAAGAGGAAGCTCACTTTTATATTTTTCTCCCCTTGTTTACGTGCTCAGCTTCCTAAAAAAAAATCTTCTGTTTACTACAACCATGCCATTTTAATTTTTCCAGATCATAGCGCTTTAGGTGTCCTAAAATATAAGAATTATTGTATGTCATCGACCCAGCTTTGTTTCTCATTACGCCATTTCGATTTTAATAATTTGATTTGAGAGCGATTCATCAATCGTCTCTCCATAATCGACCATGAGGTCATTTCTGTTCTCCATACATTTCATGGTAAGTTATTTAGTGAGTAGACTTGCTTAAGTCAATTAAAGAAACACTTTGTCTTGGGCTGATCGTTTCTTTTATTCTAATTATAACCTTTACTTTTTTGTCAAGAAGTTTTATTATAAGGAGAAATTATCTTTTGGTCCCCTGCTGAGTTACTCTGCGAACAGTGGTTTCTCCATGGACGTGTAGCGTCGAGCATGGATAGGGGATACCCCCACTTGCAGGGTCCGGCTCCCAAGTAAATCACCAGTTTCGCGCTCTGTTTTTTACTTTATATTTCAAGTGCTATTGAAGTAAAATTCCTTTAAAACAAAACGTGAGAACAGTGGATGTTCAGTAGCTTTTTCAGTAAAACTTTGGATAACCTGTGCTTGAAGAACTTAACTTTTGGATAACTCGAAAACGTTGCATATCACATTAAACGCCTTAATTATTAAGGATTTAAGCGAAATGCAGCCTGAACAATTGATTTTGAGTTAACTCCACGCTGAAAAACACCATGATATCTTCCAAAAAAAAAGTTGCTTCGCTTAGCTAAATTTAAATACTTTGTCACTTCCGCCCATTGTAGTACTAGATATGTATTTCTGTGAACTCGTGATCTTCCTAATATATATACTAGACGATGACTGGCTTTTGGCCAGTCGAAATATCGAAAGTGCGGTATTTTCACGTTCTTTGATCAGTCCTTGCAGTTGTCTTTTTGACAATAATTTGTACTTTAAATTAGATGTCCATTAATCAGAGGTAAGCATAATGCAAGAGAAGGTTAGGATGTTGTAAGATTCAGGACCAATAAGGAATTACTAGACTTTGATTGCGGATTTCCGCTGTTGCAAACTTTTTTAGTCTCGCTATGCTGCGTCATCAGAGACCAGTATCGTGTACTTAAAGATAGATTATTTTACACTCATCGCTATTATCGGCTTACAGCTTTTTCGGCAAATTTTTTTCCGGAGCAATAAGGTCCCCTTTTTTTTTGCAACCCTTTTATCTGCCGTCTGTTACCCTTTTGGGTATTTTTACAGACTGAAATGACAGATTTCCCTACCCTTTCTGTTTACTTCAAGTGCTGAAATCGCTATCCTTTCATATACTTGAAGCATGAAAAAGGCACTTTTTTGGTGGATCCCCCCGGTATAGGTCACAATAGGGTGTACAGTCCCCCCCCCTCCCCCCTTCCCGAGGGGGGATACCAGGAGCCTATCTTAGGCTCTTGGTGATACGTAACAAAGTAGTTTCGTGGCGATTCAGTCCCTTCTGCCTGCTGTAGATTTACTTCATGCTTACAGCTCAAGGCAATCGACCTCCAATACGCTCGCTCATGATAGATATTTAAACTTTCATTTGACTCCTAGGTTTTGAATTCCGGCTTTTTGCGGTTAGAGGCTGGGTCCTAAAGCTGTAAATTGACATTTCAGCGGCAAACGACCGCAAACGAATATGCCGCAGAACGTAGGATTAAATGATTTCTTGTCCTCATGATCAGCGCTAAGTTTCCGTTTTCGTGCAGACATTTTTCCCGTCTTCACTTTTATCGTCCGGTGTACCTGAGTTCAGCCGTTTTACACCATCAACCCTTCCTGAGGGGTTAAAAGGAAAAGTAAATAAAGTTTCCTTTCAGCAAAAATCCCAATACAGTTAACCTACCTCGTTAATACAGACACTGAGAGGACCCTAGAGAGTGTTCGTATTAACAGTGTGTCCGTATTTAGCCTGTTCCAGGCTCTTAGGAAGTGGGTAAGAAGGGAAAGAGAAAGGCACGCGAAAAGTTGGCGGGGCGGGAAAAAGGAAGAAGTTTCCAGTTTTTGTTCCAGTTTTCCCCCGTTTTATTTTCGTGTTTGCGCTTTCTTCAATTCAGCGAACCCGACAGTCTCGGAGCATGGAACAGGCCCAGAGTCCGTAGTGGGTTGAATTGAAAATGTACGGGACAAAGTAAACTGACCGTAATAATTACGAGGTGTCCGTCAGTTACACGCAGTTTGACTGTACTATACAAACGTTCAACCAAAGAGGTTTCTTTTGAATGGTTACACCATACGGTCCTACACAGATTCAAGTGACAATGAATTTCTCCCACTGTAGGAGTTCAGAGGACTCAATGACGATCAATGACGACCAATGACGACCAATGACGATCAATGACAATCTCAAAGAGGTTTCTTTTGAATGGTTACGCCATAAATTAAAGTGATAAATAATCTCGCCCGCTGTAGGAGTTCAGAGGACTCAATGACGATCAATGGCGATCAATGACGATCTCAAAGAGGTTTCTTTTGAATGGTTACACCATAAATTAAAGTGACAAATAATCTCGCCCGCTGTAGGAGTTCAGAGGACTCAATGACGATCAATGACGATCAATGACTATCTCAAAGAGGTTTCTTTTGAATGGTTACACCATAAATTAAAGTGATAAATAATCTCGCCCGCTGTAGGAGTTCAGAGGACTCAATGACGATCAATGACGACCAATGACGATCAATGACGATCAATGACAATCTCAAAGAGGTTTCTTTTGAATGGTTACAGCATACGGTCCTCCACAGATTAAAGTGACAATGAATCTCGCCCGCTGTAGAAGTTCAGAGGACTCAATGACGATCAATGACGGTCTCAAAGAGGTTTCTTTTGAGTGGTTACACCATAAATTAAAGTGACAAATAATCTCGCCCGCTGTAGGAGTTCAGAGGAGTAACAGATCTCAATGACGAGCTGCGTCATGCAATTTCAAAATTATGTATGATCATCCGAAAAGACATTCAAGAGTTGACTTCAACAGGATTTTAGAAACCGCCACACGTGAACTGAATGATGACGTCATCCAAAATCGTCAACATAATTCTTAGAACGGAGAGGACATAAATATATTTAGAATTAATAACCAGGAGGGGTTATGAGTCCCTGACATAGTCTACTGGTGGTTTATCTCAAACTTTGTATTTGTCAGGTGAGGTGTAGGGTTGGGGAAAGTATCCCTTCGCCTGACTTATTTTTAGATGGTCAAAAGAAAAATATTTGCTTTGCCGGTTAATTACTTAATATCAAGTTGGACCATACGATGACCGCCATGTGCATTAATAGTTAATCAGATTCATTACTCAGACAAACCTAGCTTTAGGTAATTATTTTTGAAGCTTATGAACGCTGTCCACTAAAAAGACAACATTGTACTTTGTTCTTTTAAACAAACTCTTCTTCGGCTGTCTTCTTAGAGTGACAGAATCTGTAATGCAATGGTAACAGTCCACCAGAATGCAAAAAACCAGCGTTTCTGGCCTTCAAAAACTTCATATTTTCCAGGCGAAGCATTCCCTCGGACCCCCTACCTTTTATCTATGTGCCAAAAAGCAATTCTATCCCACCTGAACACAAAATAAATAATATATACCAAACAGAGCGTTTTGAACAATTTGAAGCTATTATTTCGAGGAACAAAAGAAAGCGAAAATAAGGCATGACACGAATCTGCTGAGGGGATTAATACATATGGCAAAAAAAAAATGACGAACTGTTTATGTGACGTCTTTTGAAAAATTGAGCAGCGTTGCTCTTGGTTGCAGGGCCCGGCTGGACCATTCATGTTTTTGCGAATGTTTGCTAACGTCATTGTTTACATTTTTGCTCATTTGGTCACGTGATGAAGTATTAGCCATAAAAGGCGTCGCTCTGGTACAAATTAAGTTCAAAAGCTAAACAAGCTCGTCAGTTTCGTTGCAAATTTCAGCCCTTTGTTAGCCTGAAAGCAAGGAAAATAATTCCATAAAAAAGTAAGAAACGGCTGTGAGGCAACAACGTTAATGGGCCCATATATACAGTATGCTCTTTAAATTTTCGAATATCTCCTAAATCATTCGGTAGTTTGGGCTTAAAAATTTAGAGATAACTATAACAATGGTAATGGGCCAGAAAATCAAACAGGACGCAAATAAGCATGGTATTATAGCGAGGAGTAGCCTGTTTCAGGCTCCGAGATGGTCGAGCCCGCTGAATTGAGAAAGCAAGAACACGAAAATAAAACGAGAGGAAACTGAGGAGAGAAGGGGCGTCTTTTTCCTTTTTCCCACCCCTTTAACCTTTCGCGTGCCATTGACTTTCGTGTCTTCCCCTCTATCTGGGAGCCTGGAACAGACTAAGCGAGGAGTGTTTGCAAAATGGGTGTGGGTCGTCCAGTTTTCGATCGAGGCTGGGTTATCTGCGCGTAAGCAGGCGAAGAAGAATTCCTACGAGAAGCCCTATTACCGATTCAACTCCAGGAAAGCAAACTACATTTAAACGCAAACTTTCCTCATTAGCTACGTCATCTTTGCACAAGAAATTTAACGATACATACCCTTTTATCTATAATTTGCACTCAAAAAACATGTTTGTCCGTCATCGCTTATCTTTAGTTACCAAGAATTTGTAAGTGAAGACAATCGATGATCGATTGACACAAGCTTTTGTTGCCTTTCTGTTCAGTTTTTCTGCTTCCATTCTGACTATTGAGCAATATATTTAATTATTAATCATTAAGGTCATTAAGACTCTACCGCTCTTTATATAACACTCTTTCGCATGTACTCTGACTCGACTGGCGAACATGTTAGAGACATGCAGACAAGGGGATCGATGTTTACCGCAATTGTTGGCGTTTTCTATTTTAAGAATAATGATAATATACTCTATTTGTGCGCTCGCCTTGAGTGAGGTTGACCTTTCATAATCCCTTTGTTGTTAACAAAGAAGAGGGGAAAATACTCTTTTAAAAAAATGTTTACATTGCAGTTTCAGTTTTTTCAAAAATAGTAAGGAAAATCTCTACTTCATGAACAAAGTACAAGATCAGTTTCATTAATGGTAGCCCCTTTTTTCGACAATCACAGATCAGTAAATGGATTATTTTAGAAGATTTTAGTGACCCGTGATATGGTTGAAATGTGGCAGCGTCTGTTAAGTGCACGATAAGGGAAATCTAATCTGGTTGTTGTGGTAAGTTTGACGACTATTTGTTTGACCTTTCACTTCATTTCATACACACGGGATGTTCACAAGATATTTATTAGCCCCCAAACCCTGTTATCACGCACAGTTCTGCGGACGACGCAGAAGGCTGCCTTGGGATTGCGATTCCAGTCTGTACGGCCGGTAATGACATTTTTAAGGCGCACATCTATAATATCTGGAACATACTGTGCATTTTCAAGTTGTTGACGCGCTGCGCATTGTCATATATCATCTTGAAGTAAGCAAATCTTCAGAGTTTTATCCTGAAAAGATCAGTGCCGCCTTCTCTTCCTACTTTGTGAAAAAATGAAAGACACGATCGAGCAACCGGACAACAGCGTTTTAAAGCACGGATACCTGCTCAAACAAAGCGAAGTTCTAAAACAGTGGCATCTGAGATATTTTGTGCTCAGCAAAGAATGCTTGTGTTATTATCGGAGCGAACAGGAGGCAAGAGAAGATCAGAGCGCTCCTAAAGAGCTTATTTTCTTTAATGACATGTCGCTGTACATAGACGAACTCCCAGACAAGCAAACGAAGTACTGTTTGAAGATCGTAAAGAGATCCCTTTCGCCCAAGGTACCAACTCGAACTGTCCTTCTCTGCTGTTTTTGCGAACACGAAAGAAATGAATGGCTGTCGCAGATTCTCCATGCAAAAGCATTCGATCTGGTTGTTGATCCGACTGCATGGATCGGAAATGAGGACTCTTCGGTCGGCGATGTCTTTGATATGAACCATGAACAAGAGAGTTCAGTACGAGCAGACAAGCTTGCCACAGCAAAAGAGGTTTTTCGAAAATGCCGCCGTAAGCTTTCCCTGGGTGCGAACCCAAGAGGGGATTCCGCTCCGAGCAGCTTGTTTCCAGATGACTCGAACTTATATAAAAGACGAAAATCACTAACAGTAGATCCAGAATGGAGAAAAGCATTGATGGCTATTTAAGTGCTGTTGCTATACTGAGTGGAACAGGATGAAAGAAACTCGCCGTCTCCGTCTCAATACTCATGCTCGGGCAAATAGGAGGTAGAATCAGACAGTCATGTATTAAAATCACACTAAAAACAGTTAAAAGGGGGAGCCTTATTCGAATGGTATCACCGACTTAGATATTTTATTTCAAGAGGCAGAACTTAGAATTTTCTTGAAAATAGTAACTCTACGATAGCCAGTTTCCCACTTACATACTTTTACGCACGTGTAAGCAAAGAGATGTTTGTTATATAATTCAGGAATTTAACTTTAAAAAAAGGAGTACTTATATGGCATAGTTCGATCGCTTTTCTGTCATCAGATCGATTTCGAGAATATCATATACTGTCACAAATATTATCATATTAGTAACATTTAGCATATATTCTCCAGGATCTCTATTACGTTATCGACCTAAATTATCCGGGAAACAACCAAACCTAGAGATATAAAAGAAACTATTGCAGATAGAAGTTTTATATAATAGGTTTATTAATTGTGATTTTTGCATGGATGAGGTATACCGGTATGGGCCTTATCATTAAAAGAAGATTAAATAATATTATGTACAGTTAGGTTTGTTATTTATACATAAAATCGCTCATATGCCGGATAATTAGGTTTTGAACATATTGGGTTTTTTAAAATAACTTATTGTTTTTTTCAGTTTGTAGAAAATGAACGGTCCATGAATAAACTACATCTTCACAAGTTTTTTCTCTCTCTTTGTTTTTTCCTTTTTTAAAGGAACTCTTTCTGCCCACTCTACAAGCAAAATGGTGGATGTGGTAACTGACAGCAATTTTTAAAGCTTCAGACGATCAGTATAATAATTGAGTTGAAATATCCCAAAGAAAACTTAAGCACCAGAAGTAAGTTTTTTCATCCGGTAATTTTGGCTAATCAGTTTTAAAATAGTTATAAAAACAACTCAAAAACTGAATGTTATTTTGAATAACATTTACTCAAATCAAAAAGATGATCTGATTTGTTTCAGTAGTATACGTATATGATAGAATCAGTTGATATTGATCGTAACTGAATGAATCGAAAGACTGTCATAGGATTTCTTTAGCCCTCTTGTCAATAGGAGCCATTTCATTGATGTGAACTGTTGAGCACTTGATTTGTATTTATGTACGTGCAAGTCAGTTGTTGATACGTCCGTATCAACCATGTTCATACGGACATTGTGGGGGCTTTCGAAAGTGTCCGTATGAACGGGGTGTCTGCATAAGCGGTTTGAATAATATTAATGTAGCTGAAAATGTAAGGGCTTTCTTTTGTCCGTAATAATGAGGTATCCGCATTAAGCGGGGTTTGAATGTTGTACTTTGTACGGGAGAAATTTGATACCGGCTTTGGAACAAACCACGTCTTACTCTTTGAAACGTGAGGATTCAGAAATGAACACATTCATATAGCAGAAGAGGGAATGACCTTATTTGAATGGTAACGCTTACGGAAGCTAATTCACTGTTGCATAACTCAAGTCTGTCTTGTTTAGTAGTATTAAAATGGAAAAAAATCGTCTTTCAAACCAGGGGAAAGAGGCATCTGCCAGCGGGGAAATTTGTTTTGGTTGGTGACACAACATGGACAAATGGACGACGGTTGAAATACTGGGCATGCGCAGTGGGCGCGTGTCAATTTTCCAAGTTCTCCTTACTATTTACTGTACGTAAGGCGCGTGTAAGCCTTTAGTACGTGAAAACAGCTCAAAAGATGCCAGTGAGATTAAATGACAACTCTTTGTGTAGGAAAGACTACAAGAACTAATTCCTATGTATTGCAGAGGTTTATGAAAGGTTGTTTCGGAGTTTAAGCCTCTACCGCTGGTCGGTTTGTATAATTTTAATGAAGCCAGCAGATTCCTTCGGCTTTTTTTTTAAGGCAATGTTTTCTTGTTAAAACATGCTCCACTTAAGAGAGACAGCTTAAGTGGACATGATCCGTTCTCACGGATATAAATATGACATAGACAGTTCTTTTCTTGTGGTTTGTCGCTGAAACGGAAAGAGCCCTGGGAAACAGCCATGCGAGTGGACACGTTCTTCGTTGGCGCGCTTTTACACATCGAATTCCAACAGTGCCAAAGATCAGTATTCGAAACAATCTGATATTCACAACGTTTGCTAATACTGTAAAACAATTTAGAGGTTGGTTTCCTTTATATTCGTCATGGTAAGGTTCCTTCAAAGACTCAAAATTTACCTAACGTCTATCTTTGGCCTTGCTAACAAACAAGATGATGACTTTTATACTGTGACAGATGACGTCGGTAAAGTTTCCTTCGGTGTAATTTGTTTGAATTACTAGACAAATCTTTGCAGTAGACGGCGGCCGTTCTTTATCGCTTCTTTTGAGGTCTCCTGTTTATATTGTCTGCTATATAATTTAATCGCCTAACCCTGAAAGCGGGGGATTAAAACCGTGACTATCTGCTCTCCCGTGGCGAAGAAGTCCGTGACCGCAACCGAGTGTCTCTTAGAACCCCTATCTGCCGATCTCTGCACGACGTCTGAAAGCAAATCGTGCTTTTTCCGTCTAGCACGGCAAAACTTGCCCGAGACGGCAGCTTGAAGACTTGTTTTGACTAGACATCGTGCCAAAGTCGAAAGGGCAATAGCACGACCCGAGGACAAAATCAAAGCATATACTGCATCAGTTGAATTAATGTATGAATATCCTAATATTTAAACATAATCACTATAAGCTGAAGGGTCGTGTTAAGTAACTTCGAAGGTGTTTTCGTAGTATCTGAGTTTCAGAGGTCTGAATTTTCAAGGTCTAAAGATTCTAAACGCCTGAAAGGTTACCAGCCATTCAGGCAATCAGTGCGCAAAACTACAAAATGACAAAAGCTGTAGTTATCATAGTTATAATAATCGCTATAATAACAGTGAGGATTACAAACACCGCCCTCTGTATTTTCCGTTTACACTGCCGACCATATCTTGTCTCGGACAGCGGAACTTTGACCAATTCGCCTTTGACATTTTCACGTTGGAGGGCCACTGTTGCAACCACGCAACCCAAAAAACCACACAGAAGTTTCCAACCTTGCTGAACGTTGTACGTGACAGCTTCTCTGGTGGAACAAGGGACTTGACACGATGGCTGCGCTCGCAGTATCGCTTGTGAAAAACAGTAGTTGACCTCACCTGGTATTTGAGGTGCCAAGAATAGCATTAAGATAGGAGTAGGAAACAAAGTACATTTTTCTTGAAGTTGAGGACAGCATGAGAGAAAATTTGAGGGATTTCACGAGTTCAAGTTCATTGCTCAGACTTTTCAGCCAAGAATCTTCTTCTGTCACGCTCAATTAAACGACTTTATTGTTAGCAAAAGCTTCCAACATTTCCTCCCAGAAATTCCACAATATATGAGTTTTTTGAACAAGACCGGCAGTCAAACGGTTGCCAGTTCTTCTGTGAGTCAAAAGTACATAATGACAAAAATTGTAGCCACAATAGCTACAACAACAGATAGGATTACGAACCCCGCCAGCTGCTTTATTTCCCGTATACACTGGCGACCATACTGGGTCGCAGACAATGAATCTTTAGCTATTTCACCCTTAATATTTTCATGCGGGAAGGCCACTCCGGTTGGAACCCTGCAGCCCAAGAAATCGCACAGCGGTTTGCAACCTTGCTTAACGTTGTACAACAACAGTTTCTCTGGTGGAACAAGGGACCTGACACGATTTTTGTGCTCCCGGTATCGCTTACGAAAAACAGTAGTTGACCTGGGATTTGTAGTGCCAAGAGCAGCATTAAGATAGGAATAGAAAACAAAGTAGATTTTTCTTGTTGTTGGGGACAGCATCCGGTAAAATTCGCGGTATCTCACAGCCGTAATAAGTTGAAGCTGATTGACCAGACTTTTCACCCAAGAATCTTCTTCTCTTTCGCTCAAAATTACTTTACTATCAGGAAAAGCTTCCAATACTTCCTCCCAGAAAAAATTTCCGGGAGAGTCCACAAGCACATCAACATTTTGGTACAGTCGTTTTACATCTAGCTGGGCGCCATTTTGAAAAACATCCACCCAGTGATCTATGAAATACAAAGTCTGCTCTTCCCAGTCAAAAACCGTAAATCCAAGATGGCGCAACGCTTTGGTGATTGATGTTGTACCAGTTTTTCCAATACCTGCACAAATTATCTTCATAGTAATCCCTTAGTTAAGTTGTTTCGATGTCCCAGGAGGCGAGTTATTTATACTTGAGAAACAATTTTACAAGTATTAAATTCCGGGTCTTCCGAAGTTTTGCCGAGGTTTGCTCGGAGATGTAGTTTCGTATTTGGTTTCTTTCGTGACGAGACCAAGAAATGTAAGCCGAGAAAGAGTAAGCTATCGGAGGATAGACTAGGAGGAGAAAACGTTGCTTTTACCCGTCCCGAGGCTGACCTGAAAAAACAACTACCTAGAAAACGACGACCTAGAAAACAACGCTTTCGAAAATGTTCAGATTCTTCCGTAGGATTCCTGTGCGTTACTACGTATCCTGTGTCGTTTTCCTCGTACCCATCTTCCTCGAGTGGGAGTTTCGCCTCGACCTCTTGCTTCCTTGCTGCCATGCGATTTTAGGCTGACACATCCGACTGGAATTTTACCTTGTAAGCTACTTAAAAAGGTAACTTTGTTGGTAAAAATGACAAGAAAAATTTACATCTTACCTTACGTTGAACTCCTCTGCCAATTCAATATCAATTCAAGATCGATATTGAAACGATCCCTTGTATTAACCTAGTGATATTAAACAAGCTCGATCTGAACGCAAATAACTTTATATGCTTTGTCGTCCACCTCAGCGTTGGAAGAGTTCGTTGCAAAGGGAGATTTGATCGTTGATTTAATTGCTTTATTACCATGATATTTTTAGTGTTTGATGCCGAAGTTGCGTTTTGTTTTATAAATATGCAGTCTGCGTAGATCTCAGCCAAGATCTTTATAAATTATTAATATAATAGCTGATCACGAATGATTCAGCTGTTTACGTTTATTTTGCAGTGGCTCATTTTTAGACTCTTTATATTTATTTATTCGAGGTTAAGTTAATGATTAAGTGATCTTAAATACCCTCGAGGTGATATTTTCTATAATTTTTCATGTGTTGATCACTCAATCTGCAGTAATAAATGTCAAGTATGTTCTATTTGTTGTTTTGCAGCTGTTGGTGCTGTTAACATTAGGTTGTTGTGAGATATGAGTGCACCATATCCCCCTACTGGAGTCCAAGCAGGACAACCTACCTATCCCGGTAAAGTACAGTAAACTTGCGCTGTTATACATTTGAAATGTGAAAGAAAAGAATGCTTGATGTGAGGATTTTTTTGTGGGAGTTAGACCAAAATGGGAAGTTTCCCAAGAGTCCTGATGTTTCCCGAGACAAAGTCGAGGGAAACATCAGGACTCGAGGGAAAACAAAACTAACTGGTTTCCTGAGGGACCTGACATTAAGTGTTTTGTTATATTTCCAGACTTTCACTTCAACGTACTTCGACAGCAACAAAAGAATACGCTTAAGAGGGGCGAATCAAAACAGTACGACTCGGTACTTATGAGAACACAAATTTAATTCTCAAAACCACTGAATGAATGATTTAAAAAGTACTTTCCTTATATTATCTGCACCTTCCTCCACTAGCTGCTGTTCCTCTTCTAGGATAACTTTGAAAATCGTTGCTTTTTAGCTTGAGGCTTCATGTTTGTGTTGTTGTAAATGTTGTTGTGTTCATTCACGAAAAAGAAAACTGGCAGTGTTTTTCCCGCCTTCTGTCACGCCACTTTCCACCATGCTCTGATCACGTGCTGTAATGTGTCCCGAGCGGGGTACATTGCTTGATGTATCACGATCGGAATACATTTGATTTTAGTCAAGGCCACGTGACCAAGAATCAGCCAATGGCTGTCCCTGTTTGGCGGGTAATTGACCATGAGACCAATTTGTTTTTTTTTGTTGTTGCATCTTTGTAGGTCAGCAACAGCCAGGTTACGGACCACCACAACAGGGTTACCCTCCTCAAGGATATGGACCTCCCCCCCAGCAGGGTTACGGGGCCCCTCAACAAGGGTGGGGACCGTCACCTGGACAACAACAGTATCCTGGAGGACCACCCCTCACCCAAGGCTACCCAGCACCTCAACAGCAAGGATATGGGGGACAACCACCTCCACAACAAGGCTTTGCTCCCTCTGTCGGGCAGCAACCTGGATATGGTGCTGTACAGCAGATTGATGGGATGCCGGCGGCAAAGCCAGGTTTTGGGCCACCACAAGGTAGTTAGTTAGTTAGTTAGTTAAATTGTAACAAATGTTTATTCATTTAATTGGTTATTATGTAAAAGGCTACAATAGCTAATGTTTTGATTACTACATTTGAAGCTGCCCTACATGTAGTTTTATCAAAGCAAGTTCACCCAGATGAAGAGCTACCATGTAGAACAAAAAAGAATGTAGTGACTCTCTAAAGATGTACATAATTTGTACCAGCACCTAGTTATTCTTATCATGAGGACATGGAGATTTTTTGACCTGTAAGGTAGACTGGCAGATTTATGCTGTATCCAGGAAAATCAACAGGAGAGTTGCCAGGCATATAGTAAATTCATTATTGTATGGTAACTAGTGTTAATATTTTTCATACACATGCTGCTGATAGGTGAAGTGCAGACACCATCTTATACTGGATCAGATGTCCCTGATGAAGATGTCGATGACAATGAAAATGCCACAGCCCCACCCCCAACGGCACCCCCAGCTGATATGTTTAGTACATATGCTGGATACGAGAACACTGGATTTGGTTAGTGACTTGTTATCTACCACTCATGGGATAATGCATTTCCTTTACCGTATTTATTCGAAAAAGCGCCCACCTCGAATAAGCGCCTATCCTAAAGGCAGAAAAAGTTAATAAACGCCCAGCCTTGATTAAGCGCCCACCCCCACCTTCACCACCTCCTCCCCCTCAATCAAACTCAAATAAGTGCCCACCGCCACCCCACCCACTTGAGTGAGAATGAGTTTGAAATTGAAATTGAATAAGTACTAATAAGAAAATTCCCCAGGAGGAAGTTTTCTTCAGAGTATTTTACAGAAACCCTGCTTTGTTACTTCTTCGCATTCTTTTATTAGCATTTATTGCTTTGTTGCAAAATAAACATATTACGCTTGCTCAGTGAAAATGGTGAAAACTTAATAAGCACCCAGCCTCGAATAAGCGCCCACCTTAACTAAGTCAGCCCACTCTCAAGGTCCAAAAATGTAATAAGCGCCCACGGCAGTTAATCAAATAAATACGGTATTTACCACCAGCCAACTTGCAATGGTTATGTGAAAGTCAATAAAATAATAAAATACCTCTTAGTAATTCTAGGGGATGGTATAGAGTGGTTTTTCAAAAGACCTGGGTCTTGGAAAATTTTGGCCCGATCTTGAAATCATGAAAGCATTTGTGATAGGTTTCAAAGTCGTGGTTTTGGGTGATTTTTCGTCTCGTAGTCTTGAATTTTTTTAAGTATCCATTTCGCAGTCTTGCAAGGTCTTGAATACCATGATTCTACCAGTTTGGTTTTTATTTGTTGATATTGGATGTTGTCACGGTTGTTTTTCAGGCAATGATTACCTACCACCTCCACCACCATATGAACCCCCATCGCAACCAACCCCTGAGCAGCATTTCACACAGTAAGTTTAATATATAAATTTAGCCAAGCTCCTGTAAAAAATTATAATTTACTTCAACCAATGAAGTTGAAACCATTGCAAAGAATTCAGTTGAGCCGGCAATCAGTTGAAAACTAATAACTTGTCAGCAGAGAACTTAAAAAAACAATAAATAAACCTGCAATATGGTCATGTGATACTGGTCAGTGGATGCCCTGTTTTGACAGCTGTCAATTGACCCCAACATGGATGTGGAATATCAGGTTGCAGGCTCCCACACTAGCTACAATCTTGGACAAAAATGTTGGGAAAAATGGACGTTACCATGTCTATTTATTTATTTTATTTATTTATAACAACTTTATTTGCAATAATTAATACAAAAAGGCTGCCATCAGGGAGGAACTGAATCCTCATGTAAGATGACCCCCTAAAAATATCTACAAAGCTATTAAGGAAATATAAGTCAGATAAAGACTACTATAATGTAAGAAGAAATGTAAAAGATATCACTAAAATATATCTATTAATAATGGAGTTATTAAAATTATCTAATTACCGGGTCATATAAGTCAGATAAAGACTATTATACTGTAAGAAGAAATGTAAAAGATATCACTAAAATATATCTATTAATAATGGAGTTATTAAAATTATCTAATTATCAAATTAGATGTGCAATCGCAACAATTTTATGTTCATTACGTACTAGTTAAAAAGTGTTAAAAAAGTGTCTAGTTTCAAGATAAAGCTCTTGAAAGCCCTGGCTACGACAAATACTCCCCCTTCCCCCTAAAAGACAATGTTGAAGTCTGGCTGGATCATTTCTGATCCCGACTAAACAACTTTGACCAGGGTGGGGCGAGTGGAGGGACCATAGTGGTACCAAATCTGCAGGGTAGGCGTTCTGTTGGTAAGAAAGTGCAAAATTCTCAACACTTTTTGCCCACTTTTGGTAGAAATTGTGACATTTCACCTTGGTTTTGCTGTGGTATAGACACACAGACCAGGACTGTCACTGTGTTTTTAAGTTGCCGGGTGACTATGCAATTAGTAGGTGGGGAACTGAGTTGCCAGCAAGTTGTTTTAGTTCTATTTTCCTGTTGTTACATTCGAAAATGGGCTGAGGTTATGCTCATACTAGACAGGGGAAATAGCTGCATGGTATATTCTACGCTTAGTTAAAGGCTACCCACCCTTAGTAACAGGCTATTTCTGTTATGATGTCTTAACAGAGCTACATCCATAAGTGAAGAAGAAGCAAGAGATGCACTGCTTGCCTTTGTAGGTGAGCACTGTTGTTATGGCAAAGGAGCTGCTGAGGATATGGACATTAAGGACATCAATCCTTCAAGTGCTTATCATGTAAGTACAGTTGAATCTCCATTAAGCGGCAGCCACCCTTGGGGTCCTGGAACTTGGGACCTTGTGCACCAAAGGACGTCCACTAATCAACTGTGCCGCCTCCCTTAGTGCCACCCAAGCTAAGTGAGCTTAAAAAGTTACTTGCCCTGCCAGAAAAATAATCTACTTGTCTCAGACCAGCAGACAGGACATTGTTTCAGCCCTGTGAACCCTGGAACAGTCTCAGTCAAATCGACTGACTGCATAATGATTTTTTTCTTTATCTGTATGTTAAAATAATTTCATCCATTGATACATTTAGTGGTAAATAATAATGCTGCTGCTTTATATCATAAAATTATTGCTTTTAAAATTTCTTTGAGCATAATTTTCTGATTCAAGTGCTAATTTCGTATAATACTAGTTAGCAAATATTTTTTTATATGTACTTTTAATTTGTGAATTGCAGTACAATTTTGTGAGTTTCTGTGAGTCAAGGTCAACTGCTTGGAAATATGAGCCCTACAGAGGTATGTGGGTCTCTAACTAAAACAGTCAAACCTTCCCTTATTTGGGCTCCTCTCAGTGACGGATCCAGACCTTGGGGGGAGGGGGGGTGGTCATCCCGACCCTGATATAAGGGGTTAGGGAGAGGTCTCGAAAAAAAAATATTGGCCCATCTGGCCTCAGTTTGTTCTAGAAGTGAGGGGAGCTGCCCCCTGCCTTCTGGGATCTGCCACTGCCTCTATGAAATGAACAGCTCTGTTACGAACATTCACGTGATCTCAAAGGTGCCAAAGCCCAAACAATTCTACCTGTGCAATGCGGATATTACCCCGAGTCCCTTTGGAATTCAGCAATGAGCTCCAAGACTGAGCTGCCTCGCTGAAAAGATCTATCCTTGGTTAATAATGTCAACAAAGCAGTGCTGAGTTGATCCTTGTTCTGGTCCTCCCAATGAACAATGAACTCAATGAATTTCTAGAAGTGTGTCTCAAATTTCCCTTTAACCTGATTAGCCAACTGAACAATAGCTTTTTATCATGGCCAGCCATGGCGGGTACTCAAATCCTGGTACATAACTGGCGCCCCAGAACAGGTATTTCAGTGCCGCTTTTCAGTTGGACTTAGCCAGATGTTTAGTTTTGTCTGTGGTGCAGGCTATGTAGTCTAGACTACCAGAGAAATCTCATAATTTGCTGCTCAATACAACTGGAGAACTGTGCACCTTACAGATGTATGTCCCCTGTTCCACTTTACCCAACCCCTCCCCCCCACCCAATTACTCACTGCACCACTTACCCTACCCTACTTGAGCGCCACAAGTTTATCAGTTTTTTCATAATGGTCACGTGTTTACCCTCTTTAAATATAGGCGTTAGCTTTAGCTACCCTACCCTAGGTATGATAAACTGTACTCTGGGTTGCTAACAACAGCTAGCTAGCCCTGTTGGCTTTCTTCTGCAGTAGTTTATCACATGCTTTCTTTGTTATTTTGTTATCAAAGGTCAGCAGATTGATGGCCCACAAAATGGCCCTGCTCCACAACCATGGGATATTCTTGCTCAGCCAAGTCAGCTATTTACACCCCAAGAGGCGCGTATTGAAGTTCCACACACAGCTTCTGTTAAGGTATCATAGTGACTGTATACAATGTACAGTCAACCTTCTATTTCAGATTTGGAAGATGAACTAGTTTGGTTTGACTCAACAGAGAGGAGAACTGTGACGTAACGTTACCATGGTAGCAAAATTGGATTGACTCAGTTGCAGAGTAGAAAGCAATGTGTGTGTGTGTTTTTTTGATGGATCGCTTTAAGTCTGAAGAAAGAAGACATCCTAAATTTTGCGCACACAGACCACATTTACACGGGTCCGGGCAAATTTTTGAATGGACAAGAACTTACACGGATCCGCTTTTCGTTTACAGTACGGAACCCGCGGAACCGTGCAAGTTTTTGAACGGCGACGTTTCTGGGAAAATCCCCACCTACCCCTCCCCTAGGCCAACATCAACACTTACTTCTCACTTGGGAGAAAATGTTGCCCTAAGGGAGGGGTAGGTGGGCAGTTTCCCAGAAATGTATAATGATCCTAAACACTACTGCAATTTGTAACAGAATTTGGACGGTTCCGTGTTACCGCGTTTCTCAGGTAAAAGAAATCGTCCGTTCAAAAATTTGCCTAGATTCGGGTAAAAACCCCAGCATTCCCGCGAGATACCGGTATGCCTCAGTCTATAATATTATCGCTAATTGTAGTTTGCGATTTTCTCCTGAAAGTAGGAAATGTCTAACATTTCTTTTTTTTTGTCAGCCATGCCATGAGTGTATGGCTATAGGTTACAAGCGCTGCTACAAATGTTACGGTCGAGGAAGGGTAAGGATCACAGACAGTTTTTCACATTTGTTGCTTCCGCAAGAAAAACTTGAAAAGATGAGGCTATCGTGAGTTTTCCCCTTTGCTTGCTCGTAACATATACTTGCCTGTGAGACAATCCTGCTAATAACTGCTTGCAGTCAATAAATACAATCAATTCTGTTCATAACATTACTATACCTTCGTGTTTTGCTTGACACAAGAATCAGGAATTATGCTGTAAAATTTTAGCATAAACGGGAAAAAAAAAAAAGAACGATATCATTTGTTGCACAAGGGCGACAGTCAATAAACACGTGAAATACGAAAACTGGAAGTCCAAATTTACTTGAGTGTCAACAGGGTACCCAACAACGAGATAACTAAATAGACCTCTTAGGGCCCATTATGATTGCCGGGCTGCATTTATTGAAAGGAAATTTTTTGCATTGAAATAAGGATCACGATAGTACTAAGTATTATCAACCAAAAAGTACGTTGGGATTGACAGTTACGAAAAAATGTTTCCCTTACTCAGTTAAAACGCGATTTTCTGAATTGGGTCACGTTGTATTGCATGTGTCCTGGTGACGTCATAATCAGAACGACTTGACCGGTCACTTAGGAATCACAATTCGAATTTTGTTAAATATGGATGAAATCGAGTGTTTGCCTATATCTTATAGGTTCGTTGCACGTGGTGTCACGGTTCAGGTCACCGCACAGAATATAGGGACGGTCATCATCATCGCACGTGTTGCACGTGGTGTCACGGATCAGGAAGAAGAATGTAAGTACCATAAGCTAACCATGTACAGTTGATCTCTCTACAATGGTCACCTTGGGGACAGGGGAAACCCGGGGGGGGGTACTCCCTTACAAGAGGCTAATAGGGATGTGCCGCTGAATGGGGTCGCATTTTCACGACTGGAGTGACTATAATGGGGTCGCATTTTCAATAGATTTACTAGAATGGGGTCGCAAATTTTCGGATTTTTGGGGTGAGTAAGGATTCAAAATGGGAAGATTCTCGGTTAAAAAATCAGAAAGTTGTTGTTTATTAAATTGAACAGTAAGCTCGCATTGACCGCATTACATTCCGCCGCTTGAAACCACATTGATCAGGTAGATGCATAAATAGAAAGTGACTAAGCTGGGATCGCGAAAATTACATTTTCCAAAAAGTGACTAAGATAGGGTCTTTAATTGGCCAAAAAATAGACTATAATGGGTAGGGGCTCTGAGAGGCCAGCGGCACATACCCAGCAAGCATTAACCCAAGTATCCCCCCCCCGCGGGAGAAGAAAGTAGCCGGTGTAGAGAGGTGGCCGTAAGCGGAGGTTCCACTGTGATCTAAGATGGTGTTGGATTCTGGACTTCACGTTGTGGATTCCGGAATTCAGGTACTCGATTCCAGATGTTTTGTTAGTGGAACTTAGATTCGGGATTCCAATCGTTTGCGCGATTCCGAATTCCTTGAGTTTAATTCTGGATTCTTAAGCCCCGGATTCTGGATTCCATAAGCAAAAGTTTCCCGGATTCTGGATTCCAAATTATCAGTTCAAAATCACAAAAATAAAATAAAATGACTAAATAAAGGGAAAAAAGTTCTATAGAGCGTTTTCACATGACGTCAAGGCGGCCATATTGGTGTCCCAAAACAATGAAACGGCGGCCATTTTGGAGTCCCAAACCAGTCCTGTGGGAGTTGAACTCTCTTCTTATGCAAAGACTTTCTTTTGTTCCAATAAATTTGCATAGATGCTGGCCACGTGAGTGAAAGCGCTCCACATGAACGAGTCGACCTTCGTTGTTCGATTTTGTTCGATTTGGTTAAATGTGGGGATAAGTATGTGATTTTTACCATTTTTGTGTGCTTGTTTTGTAGCTGTAATACTTGTCATGGCCATGGTCGGGTGATGTGCTGGACTTGTCAAGGACAAGGTCACCTAAAGATGTATATTCAACTGACTGTCAAATGGTAAGTAACGTCTCGTCTTGATCTTAGCCTCGTGCAAAATAATCTGGAGAAATTTGAAAACACATCACTTTACCTTCCGTTTCGTCTACCTTCCATACAAAACGGCGTGTTCCTTCACCGAAATTAGTCTCCTGAGAACAGAAATTTGGAAACGGTCGGTGAGATGGTAGGTGTGGACCATGCTTGTTCCCAGGGTTCTCTCTCTTCCTCCAAAAGAGACGATCATGGGAACGATGTCAGGTGTGGACGGCTGACAGGCGACGAGACGATTTGATTTGCGCAAGCTCTATTGGCTTCTAAACACTACGACAAGGTCACCTTTTCAAACTGGGTTAGTGTGATGCGAAATCGATAGCGCGGCCGGAAAATATAACAACTTTTT